AACCTATAGTTTACCTTATCAACGTCCATGACGCTATGTTGAGACGCTCCTCGTGTTTCTGTACATGTAGTAAACCTGTAAAACACTGGAGATCATTTGTTCACAAAACATTCCAGCCTGTGTAATGTGGACGCGCGACCTGAGGCGGAGAAACTCGACTGCGCATGTGCAGCAACGGACATATCGTGCTCAGTGATTAACATTAGTTTATTCGCTCTGAACTTTCAGATGTAGTTAAAAAAAAAAGATATTTTGAAAAAGCGCCAGCCATTTATATTATTTTTTTTTAATCCCTGATGATGAGTTAAAATATTTCAAATATATATTTGTTTTGAGTTATCGCTATTAAAGAACATTAAAAACATTATATAATAATAGTAATAAGCCCAGTGTTAGCTATCTTATCCCAGATCGGGATAGATAAAAAGATAAACAGTGATAAAAAGATAAAGTGATGTACTTACCCAAGATGTCCAGCAGGGCGCGCTGTTTGCCATGGTGAGGATCTCTGTGACCCGTTCTGTTCCCTCAGCTTTTCTTTACATTTACATTTAGTCATTTAGCAGACGCTTTTATCCAAAGCGACTTACAAATGAGGGCAAGGAAGCAATTTACACAAATATAAGAGCAACAATGAATAAGTGCTGTAGGCAAGTTTCAGTTCTGTAAAGTCTAAGAAGGAAAGTATTAGTAATTTTTTTTGTAATTTAGTTTTTTTTTTTTTTTTTTTTTTTTTTTTTAGTAAATTTTTAGTTTTTTAAAAAAAAAATTTGAGTACAGATAGTGGTATATCCAGAGAGGCAATTGCAGATTAGGAAGTGAAGTTTACAGTCATCAGTGTTGCTGTTGTTGGAACAAGTTACTTTTGTGATGCATTAATATTGAATTACTCTGCAAAAAAAATGTAGTTACTTTTAATGGTAAGTGTGTGTTACGTTACTCTGCGTTACTGTTTCTTACCTTTGCTGAGGGTGTAACAACCAAGGGGGGATACGTCCCCCTCACTTTTACAGACAGACCACTTAGAAACAGGTGATTAAAAATGTTATGAATGTACACTTCTGGATCTTACACAGCTGCCCCCCCCCCCAACCTACTTTTAAAATGTCTGCTGCTCCCCTGCTGAGGCTTGACGCTTTCAAATCCCGCAGGTTTTCCCGCTTTTTAAAAAAAAAAAAGCTCTGCAATTAACAACACACTGCACAAACTACACCTTTATTCACCTTAAGAAGCACTTAGTTAATTTACTGTGTTATTTAAATTTATTTCATGTAAATAAAAAACTAACTCATATATTACAGTTTTTAAAAAGCAATTTAAAGATATTATTACTTGGGGGTGTCCGGTATCCGGCCTGCGGTGTGTGTCGATGGTGTTTGGTGTCTGGAGGATCAGCCTAGCGTGTGCAGGACGCGTGTGTGTGTTACTCTGACCAAAATAGACACTCACACACACACACACACACACTTGTACTGCAACGTAGTGGTGTTTCTACTATACAGTCTCCCCCTATTTGCATTTTTACATTTGATGTATGAGTGTTTCCCAGCACTGTGTTACAACTGGAAGGGCATTTGCTGTGGAAAACATATGCTAGATAAGTTAGTGGTTCATTCCGCTGTGGTGACCCCAGATAAAAAAAAAAAACTAAGCTAAAAAGAAAATGAATGAATAATCAACAGCATACAGTAAACCAATTGATATGAATGATTTAACTGTAGCCTCCACGGACACACACGCTGCAGAAACAGTGAAGGGACCGAGCAGTTTTGCAGCACATCAGCTCTGTTAATAATAGCCCGAGTCTGAGATATCAGCGCTTTCATTCCTGCCGTACTCGAGACAGCTGTCTTCAGTCTTAAGACGACGAGCATCTGAGATATTCATGCGGATCAGATGAGCTCGCTCCGACAGCAGTTCAGCCTTTCTGTCCTGACTGCACGCGTCTCTGAAACTCTACCCTGTAAAACACATCTGATAATGAACAGCTTGTGTGCTTTCCATTCGTTTATGATTGCGAGTTGCATTATGGGATGTTGATCTATGCTCTGTCCACTTCTGATGTAGAAAGTTCAACTCTACAGTTTGACATAGTGACTTTCAGTGACATTTTATTCATTTTCTTTTCAGCTTAGTCCCTTTATTAATCTGGTGTCACCACAACGGAATGAACCACCAACTTATACAGTGTAACGGAGGCCAGCTAGTAAGTGCTTTGCATGTAAACCTCACTCTTCTGACCTCTAAAGGTGCTCTAGCGACAGACTTAAGAGGTTGTGGTCTTTAGCCTCCTTGTTAGAGCAACCAACTGCCATGTGAAAGGTCGCCGGTTCGATCTCAGCTTGGAGCAGGTTTGAGTGGCGTAGGACTGGCGGGGTTACACCAGCACATGAATTATGCAGCGAATGCCCTTCCAGCTGCAACCCAGTACTGGAAAACGTGACATTTTAGTCATTTGAAATAATATAATATATAATATGTGGAGAAATAAGTGTGTAAATAGCAGGAAATGTGCTGCAGTTTATTACAAGGCTTTTGAGGTGTAATATCCAACACCAACCCAGACAATACAGCACTGCACACTATTACACACGTCATATACGTCACTATTACATCATGAAAGTCACTTTTTTCAAATGCTTTAAGGTTAAAAGTTGTCAGAAGAAAGGTCAAGGTCTTATAGTGTGATTCAACAGCAGAAATAAATGGAGAAAAATCTCGGACACATGCTGGAGTCCCAGAGCAGCCGTCACACACACACTGAGCAAAGGCCAACTTGGCAGTAATTGAGGGGAAAATTGCAATGTGGTCAAAAACAGTTCATATTTCATTTGAGGGATTAATAAAAATTGTATTTTAGTGTCACACGAGGACGGAAACTCAAGCTCAGAATGAATACAAGACTTCACATGAGACTGGCATTGGTATTTGCTATATTACTGTAAACTTATAACTTCATTAAAAGAGACATACCATGCCTTTGATGTCTCCAGTGTGTGTGTGTGTGTGTGTGTGTGTGTGAAGTTTCAGCTCAAAATACCACACTAATAATGTTCTCTAACTCTCTGAAACAGACCCTTTTAGGCTTTGATCCTTAATGTGGTGTTTTGGTGACTGTCGCTTTAAATGCAAATGAGATTGTGCTCTTTTTCAGAAAAAGGCGGAGCCAAAAATGCCTGTGTGTCAGCATAGTGGCAGATTCAAAAACAGAACTGACGTTATCTGTGTGAAAAATTAAAGTTTGTGTAACCAATCCTGCTAACATAGTCGAGCACTACCTAAGTGTGAACTCTTGAAAACTCCACATCTATAATCCTCTCAGGCCCCGTTTACACTAATACGTTGTTTTGCTACGGTTACGGCATCCGTCCACACTACGCCGGAGTTTTCGAACACCGAAAACGAAGCGTTTTGGAAACGCTCAAGAGGCCGTTTTCATTCTAAACGCTGCTGCTCCGTCTCAGTGTGGATGAGGGAAAACGGAGACATCTGAAAACGGAGGCGGGGCTGCTGAGATTTGCTACTTGATTGGGGCTTTGGTGTCATTGCGTATCCTTCCCTTATTCGTCAAGCCTCTATCACATGACTATAACACATGGCTTTAACGCTACTGGAAGACAGCAGACCAGCCTTCACTGTAAACAACAACATGGACACAGAAATGGGAGCGCTGTTTGCACTATTGTCTGTTTTAGGCGCCATTGTGCAGTTATTCATTTGTTACGTTTAGTAACATCTCGACCTCGTCGTCCGTCCACAAAAATACCTCTCTTGCTTTCTTTGCCATCGCGTTCATTGTTCAACCGGCGTTTGTTGACTAACCATAACCAAATGCCGAGCGAGACGAATGCTTCTTGTTTATACTAAACACTCTAATGGTTAATGGACAGACGGCTGCTTCTCACTCAGGGCTGCTGTTTATGCTAATGAGATGGAGAGTATGGGCACTAGTGGGCGGGGTTTTCCCCCTTTGATGACATCATACAGAGGGAGAATGTCAATCAAAGTGTTTCTGCAGACTGCCGTCTGATTAGAACAAACACAACTCAAGCAGAAAGTGACACCCTCGTCAAGCATGATGTTTCCATTAGGAGTGTTTTATTCCAAACTCACACACACACATAGAGTCCAAAAATCACACACACACACACACACACGCACACACTCCAGTGGTCAGTCAGAACAATTGACTGCTTGATAACTATAAACAAAGCTTTTAACAAAAGCAGCGGCCATCGTCTCGCAGCACACGCAGCAAGAGCTCAGGATACACACACACACACTTACACACACATAAACACACACACATACACAAAATATGACACACAAAAAACATGCACAAAAAATAAGACACAAGATGGACACACAAAATAAGACACACATTTACACACTCACATGTACACACACACACATACACCCACACACAATACATAAACACAAACAAAATAACACACACAAACAGGCAGACACACAACTTCTAACACACTAACAAATAGACACACACACAGGCAGACACATAAACAAACTCACACACACACGTTTACAAATTCAAACACATACAAACAAAATAAGAAACACACAAACACACACACACAACCAAAATAACACACACAAACAGGCAGACATTTACACACATGTACACACACAAATACATAAACACAAACAAAATAACACACAAATAGGCAGATACACACAAATTCTAACACACTAACAAAACACACATTCACAAATTCACACACACAAACAAAACACACACAAACAGACACAGACAAACACACACACACACACACACACACACACACACACTCACAAATTCACACACACAAACAAAACAGACACAGACAGACAGACACACACACACTCACAAATTCACACACACAAACAAAACACACACAAACAGACACAGACAGACACACACACACACACACACACACACATACATATACACAAACAAAACAACATGAACAAATAGACAGACACACACACACACACAATTACAAATGCTTAAACACAAACAAAACAACACGCACACTCACAAATTCGCACGAATAAACAAAACAACACACACAAACAGACACTCACACACTTACAAATGCATAAACACAAAAAACACACACTCAAATTCACACTCATAAACAAAATAACACACCCTCACAAATTCACACACAAACAAACAAAATAACATACACAAAGAACACAATCTCTCTCTCTCTCACACACACACACATTTCCAAGTGCTTCGACACACTCTCCCTCTGTATCAATTTCAGACATGTGAAATCAGGATACACAAACAAGCAGAAACAAACAAACACAACTGTGTGTGTGTGTGTGTGGGACACAGAACTGGTCAGAATCTAAGTGAGATCTGTCCATCTGGAAACACCAACTCACACTCACACACACACACACACACACACACACACACACACACACACACACACACACACACACATCAGGAACATGTCCAGACCTCCTTTCATCATAAATATAATGTCATTCTAATAGCTGGATGAACTATTATGAGGGAATATAAAGTCCAGAAAATCAACATGTATATATTAATCAGCTTTAGTTCTCTAAACCAGTTTCCCCCAAACACAACTTCAACTCATCTCTCTTGATTCCCAGTGAAAGAGTCCCGGTCAGGCCTGTTCTGCAGAGATCTTCAGGTGTGTGTGTGTGTTTAGTCAGTGTTTATGGTGCAGGGGTTTGTTCCTGCGTCCCGAGCCGCTTGATAAACTCTGAGAAAGTCTGTGTAGAGCGGAGCGCATCCCAGCCAGGCGTCTCCGAACCGCAGCGCTCCGGTGAACAGGAACTCTGTGGGTCCGGCCTGCGGATCACAGCGCTGCAGAATCTGCACTCGACCCGTCCACCGGTCACGCCCGCGCCCCCCGCCGGCCGACACGAATATACGGCTCTTCTGCCGATACACACGGCTCACAGACAGCACCACTGACACCCCATCTTCATCTTCATCTTCATCATTATCCTCTACGCGACTGATTCTGCCACGCGCCACTGAAAAATACAGACGATTTTTAAAAGTTCAAAATGATTAACTAAAAAACTTACTATTTAAAATAAACTAAAATTAACTATATTAGATGTTAGCATGGCTGTAAATGTACGGGTAATATGGAGCCAGATCAATCTCAAAAATAATACATTTATAAAATAAAATTCATACAGGCACAGCACAATTCATGTTTACAAAATACAGTTTATAAATTGAAAACACAATTCATAAATACAACATACAATTCGTGAATTCACAAGTACATATAAAAACGTTCACCAAATGAATGTGTATATTACGAATCCTGCTTTGAATTTAATGCGCATATTATGAATTATGTTTTTAATTACGAATGGGATTTGTGTATTTCTGAATAATTTTTTTAACTTACGAACTTAATTTGCGCATATTATGAATTGTTTTTAATTCCGAATGGAATTTGTGTAATTATGAATCGTTTTTTAAACTTACGAACTTAATTTGCACATATTATGACTTATGTTTTTAATTACGAATTGGATGTGTATGTTTGAATAGTGTTTAAAATTACAAATAAAATTTTTGTATTTACGAATTGTGTTTTGAACTTACGAACTGGATTTGTGTATGTTTTAACAGTGTTTTGAATTCCCGAATTGGATTTGTGAATTTACGAATTGTGTTTTGATTTTATGAGTTTAATATGTGTATTGACTAATTGTATTTTGAATTTACGAGTGGCATTTGTTTAATAATGAATTGGTTTTGTTTATTTACGAATTATGTTTTGAACTTACGAATGGGATTTGTATTTTTCTGAATATTTTTTAAATTTACCAACTTAATTTGCACATATTATGAATTATGTTTTGAATTCCTGAATTAGATTTGTGCATTCACAAATTGTGCTTTGAATTTACGAGTTTAATTTGTGTATTTACTAATTGCATTTATAATTTGCGAGTGGGATTTCTATATTAACGAATTGTTTCTAAATAATTAATTGGATTTGTATATTTTTGAATCGTGTTTTGAAACTACGAATTGAATTTTTGCATTTACAAATTGTGTTTTAAACTAACAAATTGGATTTGTGTATTTACGAATTGTGTTTTGAATTTGCGGATGAAATTTTTGTATTTACAAATTGTGTTTTGAACTAACGAATTGGATTTGTGTATTTATAAGTTGTGTTTTGAATTTATGAATGCAATTTGCATATTTACTAATCATGTTTTGTATTTACAAATGAAATTTGCATATTCACTAATCATGTTTTAAATTTACGAATGGAATTTGCATATTTACTGATCATGTTTTGAATTTACGAATGGGATTTGCATATTTACTAACCATGTTTTGAATTTGCGAATGGGATTTGCATATTTACTGAACATGTTTTGAATTTACGAATGAAATTTGCATATTCACTAATCATGTTTTAAACTTGCGAATGGAATTTGCATATTTACTAATCATGTTTTTAATTTATGAATGGGATTTGCATTTTTACTAATCATGTTTCGATTTTATGAATGGGATTTGTGTATTTATGAGGCGTATTTTGAACTAATGAATGGAATCTGCATATTTACTGATCGTTTTTTGAATTTACGAATGGGATTTGCATATTTACTAATCATGTTTTGAATTTACGAATGGGATTTGTGTATTTATCGACGTATCTTGAACTAATGAATGGGATTTGAATATTTACGAATTTTTCAACTTTTTGTGTTTTGAACTTCAGGCTATGAGTTGGATTTTGTAAACATGAATTTTGAAGTTGCATGTATGAGTTATATTGTGTACATGTATAATTTTTTAGACTGATCTGGCAGCATAGGTTAATGCCAAAACTAAACTTCTTGCAACAAAAAGAGTTGTTTTTACCCAGACTTAGAGCAGCAATAGTTCTTATCTAAGGTTATCACACCCTCAGAATATCAAACCAGCCCAGTATAAGATTCTTACAGTATGACAACCATGAATAAAAATATCTCAGTATCACAGTATTGTTATTACTCCACTAAAATATGGTCTTTTTAAATGTCTGGGTAAAAATTCACCCTGTGTGATTTATTTAAGAGAAAACAAGGGACAGTAAGCCTTCACAGCAGTATAAGATGATAAATATGTGTTTACCAAAGTCACTGGTGCACACGGACAACAGCAGCTCTTCATCTGCACACGGCCTGCAGGAGTCTGAAACACACACACACACACACACACACACACACACACACACACACACACACACACACACACACACAAAGAGGAGACGTTAGACACACACACACACATTTGTCCTGTGATGCATCAGAGTGTCAGATCCAGCTGTGCCTGAACACCTCTGACCTTTGACCTCTTTCCGTCAGTATTATCATCGTTATCTGCCTGCGCTTTTGTGTTGTGTGTTATGTCTGAGTGTGTTTTTGTGACATATCAGGACGCAAATCTGCATGACATAGGTATAACACGATATTGCAAGAAGGTGGTGAAATATGAGGACACTGCTAATATCTTGTTTCTCCAAAAGCTTATAAAATCACACAGAATGAGTATTTTTAGAGAGTAAAACTGCAGTTTCCTATGAGGGTTAATTTTAAGGGTAGGGTGGGGTTAGGACTTTAGAAAATACAGTGTGTACAGCATAAAAGCAATGGAAACCTATGGAATGTCCCCACAAATCACAAAAACAAACTTTTGTGTGCGTGTGTGTGTGTGTGTGTCTGTGTGTGTGAGTGAAAGCAGCAGGTGAAGACCTCTCCACACCTCCATCATTATAAATCTACAGCCTGCGGATCGGATGGAGACAGAGAAGCAGACGGAGGCGGAGCCAGACAGACATCCAATCATCATTGCTCAACATGCAGACAGTGTGAATGAATTACACCATCAAACACACATCTGGAAAGGATTACTACCTCACCTGCGGCCAATACAACAGCGCCCTTTATTTGGAGACAGCCAATCAGAATCACCTTCAGCCACCGGTGAACCAATCAGAGGCACAGGCTGCTGTGATTGACAGCTCTGCAGGCCGTGTGACCCCGGCGAGGCCTCCTGATTAGCTGGTTTGTTTTCTTGTGTCAGGCTGAACATGCAGGGTTTATAAGGTCACACACTTTACTGGAGCTCTCAACTAGTGTTTCAGGTTAATGACAGCGCTGATACTTCACACACAAATCACTCTCTCTCAGGACATGTACACACGGCTACTTTTCGCTTAAAAATGCAGGTTTTCCTCTCCGTTTTGGCCTTCTGTACACACTGAGATGTTTTTAGGAAACTAATACCTATCTTTTTGAAAACACTGTCCAAAGTGAATTAGTTTGACGTTTTCGTGTTGAAGTGTGGACTGTGAAAACAGAGTTTGGAAAACGATGCCGCATATCAGACAGTCATCACAGTCATGTGACCAATTTGCTTATTTCCTCTCTAGCACACCCTCGTGTTGTCTGTAACAGTGTTGTCCCGGTACTGAAGTTTTAAAAACGTCCATTTCCCTGCTAACATTTAAGGTGAACTGCTGAGGGCGTTCATAAACAGCGCTGATTTGCCATAGTGTTCACCAGTGCTCAACAGAAACGACTGTGATTGGCTGTGAAGATCATCAGTTCACCACTCTCCACACATAGACGGACATTGGATCGTTTTGAAGCTATGAAGATCAGTCGATTTATCAGCGGATCGCTCGGCTGTGTTTGCACTCAGTAAACATCGGTCAAGTGCAGTGACCTAATGACCTTAACGGACAAAATAACAACGCTGTTTAAGAGCGCCATCAACAGTGCCTTAAATGTTAGCGGGAAATGGACCTTTTTTTATTTCAGTACTAAAATTTAGTATCGTGACAAGTGTAATATGAGTGAAAGAACCAGGGGCCTCATGTACGAAGACTTGCGTGGAAATCTTACTGAAAACATTGTGTACGCACAAAGCTGTAAATGTGCGTACGCAGAAAAAAATTCAGATGTATGAAACACTGCGTACGCCGAATCTCACGCATATTCTTTTGTACATCTGAATGAACGTGAAACTGAGCGCAACATGCACGAGCACAAAACCCCTCCCTGCCTCCTCCCCCGTATGAATATGCTAATGACTATGCTAATGGCAAAACCCAACGAAAAAGCAACGGCAAAATCAAGCAAAAAGAGAAACTTTGAACAGAATGTGAATTGGAGGTGCTGCTTTCGGAGGTAGACCGGAGAAAAGCGGTGTTATTTGCAAGTTTGTTCTCCGGAATTAACAACAAAAGAAAAAAATAGAGTGGGAGAGTTTAGCTGATGCGGTCAACACAGTTGGGTCTGAACATCGCACTGAGTGCATTAACAAGAAACAAGAAATAGTGTGGTTTATATCTGTAAAATGTTGCAGGACGCTTAACAGTCTCAGTGGCGCTTCTCGTAAGACGCATGTGAACATGAATTGATACGTTCGAGCTTGAACTCGGCTCGAATCCAGTGTCTGATGAACTCTTTCTTGTTTTTTTCCCCGCTACATATCAGATTTTGCCAACTATTTATCACGAGAAAGACAAGTAGGAATCATCAATAAGTGTGTGCATCATATTTTATTTGCACATTTATTGAATGGAAATGTTTCTGATTCACGCATGCAAATTCATCTTCAGATAGTGTCTTTATAGCAATGTGTGTGCAGTAGATCGCTCAGATTACATTGGGAAAACAGGCGACTGCTGCAAATTGTGCTTTAATGTTTAGCTGGTCAACTGTATGGTATGGAAACCTTATATACCTGCTGAACCCGTCTCATACAGCTGCCATTGCAAGGCTCAGACACTTTGTAGAGAGGAATTTAACACAACTGCCTCTAGGAGTCGCCAATGGAAATAAAACAGACACGCACAAAAAATGTGCGTACGCCTGCCAGAAAGCTGCCGTGAAGCTGCGCACATTCCCACATTCAGTTCATTGTTAGTAAATCCAAACGTGAGCGATTCTGAGCGTGAAACCTGGCGTACGCAAAGTTTTTGTGCGTACGCAGCGTTGATACATGAGGCCTCAGATCATTAGCTTAAGTGGTGTGTGTGTAGCTCAGTTGTACCTGTGTGTTGATCAGCAGTGTGTGCGTAGCTGAGCTGATACTGGAAGGCAGTGATCCTCCTGCTGATGTCCCGCTGTACGGACGCCTCCAGAAACAGCGCCCCCTCCTGCAGACTGAAGCAGCGCACGCGTCCCGCCGCCTGCTCCTCCTCGCTCAGCAGCACCCGCAGCGCTCCCGCCCGCTCCAGCAGCACAGTGGCCCCGCGAGAGTCCCGCCTCGGCTTCACACACACACGTAGATCAGCGGAGGACGGCAGGTTCGGCCGCAGGTTCACCATCACCGCTCCGGTGGGATACAGCCACTGCAGAGAGCCTTCAGCACAGCGCAGATACACCTGCTCCACATCCCGCGCGTGAGACTCGTGCGTCAGACCGCTGCACAACACACACACACACACACACATGTTGGTATAGGGGGGTTACAGGAACTCTCCATAGGCCAAAAAATCTGTGGCACTATTTGACTGTCAAAAGACCCCGTAAAGTATGATTTTGAAAATCGTTTGGAATTACAAAGACATCAGACATTTCCTCATAAACCACCATTATAGAGTGAAACTATCCCATAACCCTGTCAACATACAAAAACTGCCCCTGTAAACCACCAAAATCAGTTCTCACACACACAACAGTCAGGACAGTATTTTCAGATTACCAGCTCAATGATGAGTGCTTTCCAGCCTAGGCTGGTTGGCTGGTTTTAGCTGGTCTACCAGGCTGGTTTTAGAGGGGTTTTGGCCATTTCCAGGCTGGTTTCCAGCTATTTCCAGCCTGGTCTTAGCTGGTCAGGCTGGAAAATGACCAGCCAAATCCAGCTAAAACCAGCTTGACCAGCCTGGTTTAAGCTGGACATAGCTGGTTTTGGCTGGACTCCCAGCTTGGCCAGGCTGGTCAAGCTGGTTTTAGCTGGTCATCTCCCAGCTTGACCAGCTAAGACCAGGCTGGAAATGGCTGGAAACCAGCCTGGAAGTGGCCAAACCCCCTCTAAAACCAGCCTGGTCGACCAGCTAAATCCAGCCAAGGCTGGTTTAAGCTGGATTTTACAGCAGGGTTATGCATGAAGTGTGTTCAGAATTACAGTCCTTACATAGCAGGGGTTCTCAATCTCAGTCCTGGAGGGCCGGTGTCCAGCAAAGTTTAGTTCCAATCCCAATCAAACACACCTGGGCTAGCTAGTCAAGCTCTTACAAGGCTTTCTAAAAAAAACTAAATGCTAAATGGCTAAAATGGATTTTATTAAGAAAATAACAGTGTTTATGTGCTTTATAAATGCTGAAAACAGCGTTGATACATTTAGGGCCGTGTCTGAGTCCACTACATCCTTTCAGAGGTGCAGCAGCTCTGTGAGCTCATAAACTCCTCCAGAAACTGAACCAGGATGATGGAGGCTTTCAGCTGTGCTTCTGACTTAGCCGAACCCAGTTTCATGCATTGTTTTCGGTGTTGGCTGGAGGATTTCCCCAGGGACACCAACAACAGGCGTACGTAACAATCACACCCCCACAAGCGCAAGCTCCTGATTGGTTTCGGCTTAAGTTCAGATTTTTTAACTCGAGCGATTCACGCTAAATAGTTCCAACTCCAATCAAACACACCTGAGCTAGCTAGTCAAGCTCTTACAAGGCTTTCTAGAAACTTCCTTGCAGGTGTGTTGAGGAGAGTTGGAGCTATTGTTGTGTTCACACCAGACACGGAATGCACGGATAAATCGCGCATTAATAGTCGCATGAACATTTGATTTTACTCGCTTTATTCGCACGTCAAATTCACTTCAGAACAGACTCTAGCTTCATTGCTAAATGGTTAACATGGATTTTATGAAGAAAATAACAGTGTTTATGTGCTTTATGAAGACTGAAAACAGCGTTGATACGTTTAGGACCGTGTCTGAGTCCACTAGATCCTTTCAGAGGTGCATCCAACTCTGAGCTCATAAATTCCTCCAGAAACTGAACCTGGATGACGGAGGCTTTCAGAAACGCCAGCTGACCCAGACGAGGCTCAAAAAAGTGTACTTCTTGTTGTGAAGCAATCTTGCTATCCACTGAGCCACCGTGACACCCCATTTCTAATTTATTTGCATTATTTATACTAGTTAGTTAGTTTTCATTGTTGTTTTAACATTTCTATACATTTTTAGCATGATTTCAGTTTTATTATTATAAGTATTTTTTTTTTTTACATTTTTTGTCTACATTTTAATTTAGGTTTATTATTAATGCCTATTATTATTCTTAATAATATTAGTTCAATTGGATGTCTGAGCAATGCATGTTTTCAGTATTATGTTTTGCACTATTTTAATGAACAAAAACAGCATCTATTATTACTTTAGACGTTCATGTTCTGCTTCTCACTGAACGCAGAGGAACACAAGGGCTGGTTTTTCAGGAAACAGAGAGCTTGACAAATCAGGATGTTCAGAGCTTTGATCCGTCGTGACCTTCAGCTTGAACTCGACCTCTTCAGCAGATCAGATGTCAGAAAAACGGTGTGTGATATTAACTCAAGCTGAAGCAGACACACACACACACACACACACACTTAAACACTCAAGATCATTCACATTCAGATGAAAGATACGGCACAAGCTGTCATCCAGATGTGACATTTTCATTTCTCCGCCGATGCGCTTTCAAGTGGTTGTGGTTCGGTTATTTAGGGATGATTACAGAGTGTGTGTGTGTGTGTGTGTGTGTGTGTTTCAGCTGGACTGCTGCCGAGGATTGCAGATTTACACTCTTTTACACCAGGTGTACATCAGTTGTAAAACACCACTAAAAGTCACTTTAATTTATTGTGTTTAGTCACATTTGAGACTACAAATAATATTAGACTTATTTAAAATACATATTATTTATATATTAATCATTTGTTTTTTACATTTTAGTATTTTTACATGCTTTGACATTGTTTTTTACTTTAAACTTTGTTTCTCTGTGGAGAATTTCAGATTTACAGTCGGGGTGTATATTGGTGGTGAAACAATCCAAAACTCCAAATAATAATAGACCTATTAAAAAGCATATTATACATCTTTAATTAAAAATTAGTTTTGGTTTAAGCATTTTATATGCTTTGTCATTTACATTTTATATTAATAATTCAGTATTAGTCATTTTATATTTCAACTAAAACATTGTCTGCTATTTCTAATTGCAATCTATCTATCTATCTATCTATCTATCTATCTATCTATCTATCTATCTATCTATCTATCTATCTATCTATCTATCTATCTATAATTTTGTATTAATTAATAGTTAATTAAATAACTAGTAGGTTTCAAAGGAAGTTTTTCGAGTTTAACTTATCAATATTTAATTTAGCATTGTTTTTTAGTTAATGTTGTTATTTCAGACAAATTTTATTTCTGTATTACAGTCTCTCCTTTAGTTATTGTTTACATTTATTATGAATATTAACTAGTGATTAGCTTATTGATCGCAATAGATGGTTTCAAATGTAATTTGTCAGGTTAGTTTTTTAAGTTAGGTTAACTTTTTAATATTTTATTTGATATTATTCTAAGTTAATGTTATTACTTCAGACTTTGTTTATCTGTGTAGGATTTCAGATTTGCAATCTTCATGAGGTGTACAGCATGGCCCTGATGGCTGTTAAACACCACTGAAAGTCCTGTGTATTTTACTGCGTTTACTCAAATTTAAAGCTTCAATTGATAATAGGGTAATTCTGAAACACAGGTTAATGATATGTCAGTATTTCCACCAAATATGGAGAATTTGGCTGCTCATGCGAGCGAGTAAATGATGACTGAACATCTGCAGTTCATGACTCGCCATTATAATTAAACAGACTGGGTTTGGTTTCCACTCAAATCGGTGCCAAATGTCCTCCGGAGAAAAAGCAAAACGAGTCCTGCACACATGACCTCCAAATCTCCCCCATTTCAGCCGGCTTGCTTTTAATTAACGTTATTAAATCATTTTCTGGAGTCAATTAAGCGGCGGAGCGCGAAGTTAATGGAGGCCAGATTCTGCGCGGTTTGATTCACTGAGTTAAATGAAGGAGTCGAAAGGAAAAGTGCGAAACAGCTACTAAAGCCAGATCACTAACACATGACAGAGAGAAACAGAGAAAACACATGGAGATGAACGTCACTGTGGGAGAAGAAATACTCAATAAACCCGCGTCATTTCATCGCCTGAGCCAGCAGAGGGAAATTCATTTGAGTGAATCGACTCATTCGAACGAATCATTTGGAAGCGTTTATTGTTTCATTTTTTATTGAAAAATAGACGGTATACAATATACACGGTAAACACTTAATGGTTGTCACAATTAGTGTACAGTTGAATACTAATTCATTCACCAAAACAGTTTTTCCCGGCAAAACGCATGGAAAAGAATCGCTTCAGAAGAATCGGTTCGAGATTCAGTGTCTTCAGGTTAAATGTCAGCACATGTCCTAAGTAAGGGCATGTCCAGACCATCCTCTCTCACAGCATTTCTTGCTTTAACAGTCTTTAAATATTATTATAACACGTTTAAATAAGTATCACAGTCCTCAAACGTTAAATCTCATTTATTTGCATGCCAATATTAATACAAAAAACAGACAAAGCTGACTAAAATGTTCAAGATGAGCTTAGATAATAAAATGTAATGATTTTAGAAAATCTATAAAAATTGTTGTGCAACATTCTATGCAAACTACAACGCAAACGGAGTTTAGTTATTGTCCTTATGTATGCAATACATCAGCACAGAATAAAAGCTGTTTTTAAAAACGCATTTAAATCAACAAAATCTTTACACTAATGGAAAATAATAATCCTCACCTTCCCGTCCAGCTGCACTGATCACTGGAATACTGTGCACATCCACACAGGACCACAGCTGACAACACAAGCAATAAAAGCATCCTCCAAACCCCCGTCAAGCTCCTCCAGCCTGTAGAAATGCCCAGTTCTGCAATCTTCAACACCTACATGACCGAACCGCGAGCAGAAATGAGTGTTTCAGTCCAGAATGAACCGCTCATTACCGCGTGTGAGAGTCAGAATCCACACACACACACATACACACACACAGTCCGGCTCAAACTTTCACCTCATACAACCGCAGTCACAGCCACGCCCACAAACACACGACACGCAACTAAACCACGCCTACTATAACAACACACGCGTAAAAACCACGCCCATAGCAGCTCCTGGGATCATGAAACAGCCTTATTTGTGCATAAATCCATAATTAAAACGGCATCAATGTCCTTCAAACAATGCATTAGTAGTATTATTGTGTTTCATTTGACTTCAAATCCCATAATCCATTGCTTCTGATTGTATTTTACCCGTTCAAAACACTCTAGCTGTAACGTTACCAGTTTATAGCAAAGGTATTACATGAGATTTTACATGCCACCATGTTTATTATGGTGTTTTCATAATATTATCAAAGATCTGTCTCCAATAGGGTGAATTTGGGTCATCTGGGACAAGCTTCAGTGTGTTATTTCTGTTCTAACAAAATTCAGGCAACAGGACTTTTATTAAAAATTTAGCATGTACTAAGACAATGTTCCCAATTGTTGTCAAATTATGTCTGTGATGTATTCAAGTAACAAAATATATATTAAAGTGTTAAAAATGTTTTTAAATTTTAAATTTTATTTCAAACATTTTTTGTTGTCCCACATAATCAAATATGACTGATAATGTGGGACAGGGTAATCTGGACCGGGACAGCCTTCGAATGGGAGAAATATGCATTTAGAGACTTTATAAATTACTACAAAGATGGATTGTACAATGTTCTGTACACATACTGGCATCCATAAATATGGCAAATATATACTTTTTCAGCACAAATGCATAATGTCCCAGATTTCGAAGTGACCTGTCCCAGATTATCAAATTCAGGCTGAATTTTTATTTTTGACACAAAAATACTGGTCCCACTTTACAATAAGGTTCATTAGTTAATGTTAATTAATGCATTTACTAACATGAACAAACAATGAACAACACATTTACTACTGTATTTATTCATGCTAGTAAATTTTAGTTAATGAAAATACAGTAGTTCATTGTTAGTTCATGTTAACTCATGGTGCATTAACTAATGTTAACAAGCATGGCCTTTAACGTTAATAATACATTAGTAAATGTTCAATAATGATTAATAAATGCTGTACAAGTGTTGTTCATGATTAGCTCATGTTAGTAAATGCATTAACTAATGAACCTTATTGTAAAGTGTTACCAAAATACTAATAGGTGTGGCATGGCTCTTCTCAGTATCTTTATTATGTTTTCTTAGGTGGCTAGAAAACATCTTAGGGGTTTCAGAAAAGTCTATGGGGTATATGCCGAAGCATGCTAATAGGACTTTTAATTTGCCAGTAACCTGGGTTAAGCGCTCAGATTGTACAAGAAGCACTGCATTAAATTACATTTCTCTTGCCATGTCTTTATAATATGAGCATTTATTTTACCTCAGTATATCTATGGAGCTTCTGCAATTCTGACGGGCGCGTGCGAGTAAACCGCTTTTTGTCTCGTTTTACGCTTGAGCAACTAAATAAATGCTAAAGTTTATTTAACTGAATGTATTTTAATGACATTACAACATCGATGCTGTATAAGGAACCGTATAAAATGGAAAAAAGTTCACAATAACAGCTCACCGGAAGTGTATCAGCATGGGAACAGCACTAGCTCGGCATATACCCTATTGTGTGGTTCTAGATAGACAATGAAATAGAGAGCTGAAGTTAAAACTGCAAAAAGTGTCCCAGATTACCTGAATTCACCCTTTCATTTTACATGCCTAAAATCAGGTGTTTATGACTTCTGTGCTCTTTTTACAGTGAACGAAGTCATTTATGACATTAAACTCCTGTTTACATGGGTGAAACACAAACCACATGAAATATTACTATTAATACTATTGTAAATTAAAGCAAACACTGTAGTGTTTATGAACCGTATTATTATTAAACGTGTATAGGCGATATCTGCAACATTACACTGAATGGGTAACATTTGATTTTGCAAATTAAAAAAAAATTATGAATAATTTGAATGAATTCATAAAAATTAAAAAATTAAAAAAAATTAAAATTTTTTAAAAAATGTAAAAATTATTAATTTTGTTTTAACACTGTATTTAGCAACAGGCATATATTTAACAGTTTGAAATGAATATTAGGCAATCTCAGGCATTGTTTTTTTTTTTGTTTGTTTTTTTTAAAGGGTTTTAAAGTAGGGGAAGGATCCATTTAAGGATCCAGTCCTGTTACCAAAAACCAAGTTCCTTTTTAAAAGGTCGTTTTAATGTCAACTAATTGATTAGTCTTCCACTCACAAAAGTGTTTATCTTAAAAAAAATAGTTGGTGAAAAGTTTGAATAATTGATATTTATTACAAAATAAATCCCTAAATATGTACAAAAACAAAAAATGCAAAGACATTTCTTTTTAAAATATTTTCCAGGAGACCCAAACTGCAAGATTGAAAGTCCTCAAGTCACATAACTATAAGTCTACTATTGGATAAATTATGAACATAACAGACATTTAACCTCATTTCTTGGATATTCTTCTTAATGAATGATCCAGCACACTGTGATATTAACTAGTGAACTAATAAACTGTTATACATACTTTAGTTTTACTACAGTAAACTGTGGTGTATTGGTTGATTTGTTTACATTACCATAGTACTTTTTTCATGTGGGTGGAATTTTCATTCATTCATATCACCTGCTTTCAATAGTACAACAAATTCACAATAGTATCTGGATGCAGCCTTTATGATGCAAGCTGAGACTGCATTACTCAGCAATGCAATGTCAGACACAAATGGAGCTAGTGACGTCACTGTGACGAGTAGGGTTAGGTGAGCCCATTAAAAAGCATTGGATGCAGCCCAGATTGCACTGCATCAGGTCTGCAGCCACACCCCTCTCCAAATTCGCGTGTTTATGATTATTGTTTTTTTCCTGTATCTACAATGAAGGTCTATTGTGAAGTGATGCACTGCAAAATAAATGCTTTTCTTAGTTTTTTTGTCTTGTTTCTAGTCCAGATGTCTAAAAGTTCTTAAATTAAGAAGCATTTTCAAGACAAGCAAAACATATTGTCTTGTTTTAAGAAATAATATGCCAAAATTAAGTGAGTTTTTCCTTATATCAAGCTATAATATGCCAATGCAGGGGTCAGCAAAATAATCTTATCACAAATCGAAAAACAAGATTTTTTTATATGTTAAATGACTATATGTTTTGCTTGTCTAGAAAATGCTTAAGAATTTGTAGATTTTGGACTAGAAACAAGACACAAATTTGCAGTGTATCTGACTGAACTCGTGTGGTATTTACATTAGTGAAAGACACTGGGCACCGGAATATGATCTCCTGTATGGCATGAGGCACGCGAACAGCTCCTTCTGAGAGTGTGTATGACTGAATGTGTGTGTGTCTTGAGGTGCTGTGGTTATTCTGGGCTCTATAAACACTCGTATCAGATGCTGCTGAGTCGCGCGCTGTTATTACGGCTGCACGCGCCTCGCGGGACACTGAGCGAACACTGCGCATGCGTCGAATATACAGCATTATTATTATTAGCGCTTCTGTGAGCTTTATTTTTTTCAGTGCTGTTTAATGGAGAGATTTGATTTATTAAATTTTTATTAACAAATATCTTATAACTAGTTACTTTTATCTTCGCTTTGATGATAGTAGATACTACTTTAATAGTTATGTTGTACTAGTATTCAGCTTAAAGTGACATTTAAAGGCTTAACTAGGGCAAAGTCATTGGATAATAGTGGTTTACTCTGTAGGTAATCGAAAATATAAATCATTTTAAGGGGGCTAATAATATTGACCACAGTAGTTTTTACTTTAAATTTCTTTTTAATTTCAACTAAAATAAATAGGATTTTTACCAGATAAGATATAATAGTAAATACTGTAGAAAAATGTCCATAAATCACAAAAAAATCACATAATAATTAAAATTTCAGAGGAGAGTTAAGCATATTTTCATTTTAAAGATGCTTATTTTACATAAAGTGACAAACTCAAACTCACAAGTCTTGAGATGATTGATTCAGACTCTAATAATAAATATACATTTATCAAATATATATATATATATATATATATATATATATATATATATATATATATATATATATATATATATATATATATATAATATTTAACATTACAAATTGTATTTCTAATAAAATTAACCACAATTTTATATCAATTTAATTTCACATTATTAATTTAATTAATGTTATTGTTAAACAAGGAAAAAAACTAAAAACTAAAAACAATAAGCTAAAAACAATATTTTTTATTAATTAAAAAGCATTTTGGAAAAGTCGTATTTAGGAAGCAGGGCCATATAATCTGAACAAACATTCACTGGGATTTGAGGTGTGTGTGTGTGTGTGTGACTGGAATGTGTGTGGTATTAAGACATTATCTAGGGTCAGCAGTGGTGTGTGAGTCTCAGGTGATGGAGCATGTTTTCTCAGTGTTTGTGTGTGTGTGTGTGTGTGTGTGACAGGTCATTTGTGTAATGACTGGTGTTGAGTTCTGACCTTAAACCCACACGCCATCCTAAACATGTTCAGGTCACAAACCCCTCGCCTCCCTCCCTCACACACACACACACCGAGAAAACATGCTCCATCACCTTACACACACACACATACATACATGCACACACACTACTGCTGACCTCAGATAAAGTCTTAATACCACACACACATTCCAGTCTCACACACACACACACACACACACACACACACAAACTAAACATATCTGCAAGACCTCAATGGTTGAGGGTTTCTGCCATCAGACACTCACAAACACAAATACACAATTAAAACAGCAGAAAACATAATAAATATATATAAACACACTGCATATTTAATAATACATATTTCATAATTCATATCAGGACCTGTTGTGTGACTACATGTGTACTTATTCTGTACCTACATGAAATGAAACAGCAGAAGACTGAAACAATGTTCCTTCGTTAACTAAAATACAAGATGTAAAGTCATTTACACGTAAGAAATTAAAGTGAAAACCTTCGCTAATCCAAACCCAAACTAAAACAAGAAACTTTTTTTACAGGCTTTAAACAAAGTTAAATTTAAGAGATTTTTAAGACGGGCGAAGCAGTGGCGCAGTAGGTAGTGCCGCCACCTCAAAGGAAGAAGGTCGCTGGATCAAGCCTCGGCTCAGTTGGCGTTTCTGTGTGGAGTTTGCATGTTCTCCCTGCGTTCGCGTGGGTTTCCTCCGGGTGCTCCGGTTTCCCCCACAGTCCAAACACATGCGGTACAGGTGAATTGGGTAGGCTAAATTGTCCGTAGTGTACGAGTGTGTGTGTAAATGTGTGTGCGGATGTTTCCCAGAGATGGGTTGGAAGGGCATCCGCTACGTAAAAGCTTGCTGGATAAGTTGGCGGTTCATTCCGCTGTGGCGACCCCGGATTAATAAAGGGACTAAGCCGACAAGAAAATGAATGAATGACATTTTAAAGACCATTATTATAGTTATAATATTAGAGACATGTTAATACGCAGCTGTCAATCAATTCAGTGGGCGGGGAAGCCGCACTCCTGTCACGTTGCGATCTGCCTCAAAATGGGAGGGATTTGGATCCTATTTTAACATCAGGAAATTTAAATAAAGAGACGTGCTGTGTTTCTATCACCTCAATATGACTGTGCACACACTATACCTGCACACAGTTCTGTCCAATATTTTAGATATTTCTCAGCAAAACATTTTAAATATTGTATAAAAACAGCTCTACTTTTTTCCCAGCACACACTTTCTTTAAAGTAAAATAAATAAATAATATATATATATATTATATACACACACACACATATATATATATATATATATATATATATATATATATATATATATATATATATATATACATGGAGCACTTCTAAACAAATGTTATTGTAAGAAAAATAATAAATCCATTATAATAAACAGAGTTAAAAATGATATTTTTTAAATAAAAAGTTTAAGTTTTTGAGCTTTATTAAGACGCATTGTCGGTGACCGCTTGGCCAGAATGGATAGCACAACAGGAAGACTTTTTAAGGCCTAAATTTTAGATTTTGGCATTTAAGACTTTTTAAGAGCCAGCAGAAACCCTGTATTAAACTGAAGCATGTGCCAACTTAAACAAAAGCTTAATAAAAATATTTACAAGAAATAAACCACGCAAAAACACAAAGAACACATTATTAAAATAATTAAAGTTTAAAAAATGTATAAACAACACTCTAAAAGAATAAAAAACAAACCTGAATGAAACAAACGGGACAAACGTGTTTTCAGAAATTCCTGTCAATCAGCAAAGAGGACCTGATTGAGAACACTCACCACAGCTCTGCGGGAAAGAGCTTTATTTTGAGAATGACGTCACTCAGGAATGACGGAGAAATGCAGCGACACGCTGCAGCAGGAATGCAAACAGTGTGTGTGTGTGTGTGTGTGTGTGTGTGTGAGTGTGTGAGTGTTTGAATCTAGGTGCGAGAGGGATGTGAGATGTTTCTCAAGCTGAGGACTCTGGGAAATACAGTCTGAAGCTTTTCCCAGATCTTTAGTATCCGAAAACACACACACGCACGCACGCACGCACGCACCCGCACACACACACACTCTTCTTGCTGTTTCCCAGACTCTGACAGAAGGTTTGGCATTCTCTGCATTTCAGGAAGACGCTGTTGAGTTCATATGAGGTACCTGAGCTCTCATTCTTGTTGACTGTCTCCCTCAAACACATGCTATCTCACATACACACTCTGTCACCTACACACAGTCGCATGCACACACTCTCTCTCTCTCTCACACATACACACACTGTCGTCAGTTGAAATGGTAGTAATGGACTCCCTCTGTGAGCTGCAGAGAATGAAGATTTCCCTCCAGAACTCCATCTGTCATGTCCTGCATACACACACACACACACACGCACGCACGCACGCACGCACACATATAAATATATAAACACAGATACATACAGACACACTAACACATACAGACACACACACAAACACACACTCACCAGTTTGACACACACAATAAATGGTGGCGAGGCGTTTCTGAAGTGAAGGACAGGAATCTTCGGCTTTGGCCGCTCCTGAGAGAAACAGAAAGAGTTAAACACACAACACACACTCACATTTAGACCAGACGTGTGAGAATCTAGTGTACATACAGCATTATAATGTATATTACTGTAATATTGAGCAGTCATTGTAATAAAAATATTAAATCGCATCCAGACCTAACGCATGCGCCTGTCTCTTTAAATCATCTACAGTCAGGTGGACGCCGATAGGCCGTCTGTGTGTTGATCAACCGGTAAACATGTTTTCAAAGCCCCTCTAATAATGTTATTCATCAATATCTACACTCTGATGCTCGCTCTGAACTGCAGCAGATCCTCTTGACCATGTCTACATGCCTAAATGCATTGAGTCGCTGCCGTGTGATTGGCTGATTAGGAATTTGCGTTAACGAGCAGTTGGACAGGTGTACCTAATAAAGTGGCCGGTGAGTGTATAATGTTAAATTTTAGCTGTATTTTTTAATAACCACGTCTTCATTATCAGTCTGTTTGTCCTCTTCAGAGAGGAGCTGATGCTTGTTGGTGTAGGATGTGATATTTCCCCTCATTATTTCCATATTGTGCTGATTATATTGTTTTTGGCTGTGTAAGCTCGTCTGATTCTCAGGCCTAATGATGGATTGTCCAGGAAATTAATTATTCATGCGGGTTCCTGTGGAAACAGCTGACGGCTAATCTGAGTCTCGGCTTAAACCTGATTCATTGCCAGCATTATATTTGCATAACTAATCACTGTTCTGCATTGACATCCATTATGTTCTCATGAGGACGTTCACAGATCAATCTCCGGCCATGTTATGACCAATGATAAATTAATTGGGGTATTTAATTAATATGAATGTATTATTATTTGTTTTCCACACTCTAAACAGTATTTCTGATCACAGTGGGTCGACTCACACTCGGGAAACTGTTAATATCTGATGTTTTGTATCTGTCGTCTCACCTTTGACTCCTCATAGGTGTAAAAGCCCTTCTTAATTTTGTTCTCGTCCACGTCACAGAAGGCTTTCACCTGCACACACACACAAGGTGTTACTAAGGAACTGCTAAGGGTCCTTCTTGGCATTTATTAAAGGTGTTACAGGCAGATGCTATGAGTGTTAGTAGGCAGTTGAAGTTGTCTTTTTAACAAGAATAATCCAAATAAATATAGCATATGGGGTGGCTCAGTGGTTAGCACTGTGGCCTCACAGCATGAAGGGCGCTGGTTCGAGACCCAGCTGGGCCAGTTGGCATTTCTGTGTGGAGTTAACATGTTCTCCCCATGTTGGTGTGGGTTTCCTCAGGGTGATCCGGTTTTAAGGGGAATTGATGAACTAAACAGGCCGTAGTGTATGGGTGTGAATGCAGATAAACAAATAAATAAAACAAATAAATAAACAAACACACTAAATACACAAACAAAATAAATAAGTAAATAAATGAACAAACAAACAAACAAATAAATAAATTAAAATAAATAAAACCAACAAACATATTAAATAAATAAATAATAAATATATAAATAAACAAACAAACAAATAAAATAACTAAATGAACAAACAAACAAATAAATAAAATAAACAAACAAACAAAATAAATGAATGAACAAACAAACAAATTAATTAATTAATTAATTAATAAAACAAATAAAATAATTAATGAACAAACAAATAAATAAATTAAACAAACAAATAAAATAAATAAATGAACAAACAAATAAAATAACTAAATAAACAAACACATAAATAAATAAACAAAAAAATAAATAAATAAATGATCAAACAAACAAACAAATAAAAAAACAAACAAACAAATACAATAAATAAATAAATGAACAAAAAATAAATAAAACAAACAAACAAACAAAATAAATAAATGAACAAACAAATAAATAAAATAACTAAACAAACAAACAAACAAACAAACACTTAAATAAATAAATAAATAAATAAATAAATAAACAAATAAAATAAATAAATGAACAAACAAATAAATAAAATAAATCAATGAATAAACAAATAAAATAAACAAATGAAAAAAACAAATAAAATAAATAAATAAATGAACAAACCAATAAAAAATAAATGAACAAAAAAATAAATAAATAAATGAGCAAACAAATGAAAAAATAACATAAACAAACAAACAAAAATAAATGAACAAACAAATAAAAAAATAAGCAAACAAATAAAAAACAGAAATAAGCAAACAAACAAATAAAATAAATAAATGAACAAACAAATAAACAAAATAAGTAAGTAAACAAAAAACCAATAAAATAAATCCATAAATAAAATAAACAAATAAACAAGGACACACTCAGCTGCTGATTGTTCAGTGTTTTCACCTTGCTCTGGTTGTCTGGCCTCAGGCTGCGGTAGAGTTTCCTCCCCTGTTTTCCAGCATTCCAGATGGTGAAGGAATCCCATTGGCTGAGCACTCGCTCCTGCAGGAAGTCCACACGCAGATCCCAGATGGTCTGTCTGAGACATTAAAGACATTAACATCAGCAGAATGATGAAGAGTGTGGAAAATTGCAGGATTCAGGACGAAGAGCTGGAAAACATGCTGGCTTAAACTATTTAAAGAGTAGAAGACCCCCCCCCCACACACACACACACAGATGAGTTTGACGTCCAGCTGTGGCCTGATGGAGAGATGCATGAAAATTTGTGGAATTTCAGAAAGATTCCACACACACACACACACACACACACACACACACACACACACACACACACACACACACACACACACACACCGTGATGAATCAGTAAGTGGCTGTAAACAGACTCACTCCAGCACGGAGTGTGTCGCTGCGTGTTCATGATAGCGATACACCAGCAGACACTCATCCACCCTCAGCACGAGACCCCCGAGACGAAGACTCTGATAGAAGAAGAGCAGATCTTCAGGAACGCCCTGAACAGAAGAGATGAAACAGGCTTTATTATGCAAAAATCACTTTAATAAGGGGTTTAAGTCCAGCTGTGTGTCAGCGGCGTGTGAATCTCTCCAGCAGCCTCTCAGGATCAACATGAATCGATTGTATTTGTAATGTAGTCGAATGTTTACCAACACAAGCGCAGCTGTTTAGAGCTCATTTCTCATCATGGTTTATGATGTCAGAATTTTCCGGTGTTTTGGAATGGATGTGTGAACAATCTTTTCCGGAAAAATTCCGTAACGTCCTCGTCTGTGTGAACAGTACTTTTTTTTAATTTGCCGGTAAAGTCGTTCCTTAAATCTTCCAGATATTTACTGTGTGAAAAGAGCTATTGTGTGTTGAGCAGAGCTTCACCTTGCCTCCCTCGTGAAACTGACCCACTTTCTCAAACCAGCTGCGCGAGCAGAACCAGGACGGCATGATGACGGTCGGCCCATGAGACGTGTAGACCTGCACAACACACACACACACACACATGGTCAGAAACGATCAAAGTGACACTGTGTTTAAAACAGATGTCCTGAGGATCTAAAGCAGGGGTGGCCAACCCCGTTCCTGGAGAGCCACCTTTCTACAGATTTCAGTTCCTACCCATATCAAACACACCTGCCTGTAATTATCACGTGGTGTTCAGGTCCTAATTAATTGGTTCAGGTGTGTTTGATATGGGTAGGAACTGAAATCTGCAGGAAGGTGGCTCTCCAGGAACAGGGTTGGCCACCTCTGATCTATAGAAACATTAGGCATCAGTTACCTATGGTTGCTGCTAAACTTTATATGAATACAACGATTTTACCTCATTTATCTTATTGTGCTACAAGCTGATCGCATACGAACATTACAACATTAAAACTATTGTGTTATATATAAACAAACTGTTAAAATTTTAGCTAAAAAGCCAAGGAGCTATCATCATTGCACAACAAAAATGTATAAAATATTTCATGGTCTTGCACCACCCCCCCTCAAACAATGTGTGATCGTCAGCAAGGACAATAAAAGACAGACTAGGTCATCTGTTAGAGGTGATTGTTCAGTTAAACTTAAGTGAACTGCTTTTGGACAATCAGTTTATTCAGTTAAAGCAGCAGAAAGACGGTATAAAATGCATGTGTATATCAGAGAGAGCAGCACTTAGTTTTAAAACTGTTCTTAAAATTTGGCTAAAACAAAATCAAATATGCAGCCACTGATTTGATTTCATTTTATTGACAATGATGTGTTGTATTTATTGTACTATAAGTGTATATTGTATTTGCTAAAACTGTTAAATTTGTTACTTCCTGCCCAGGGACTACAGATGTAAATTAGCTTTATAGCTGACTCTGGCACAACATGTCATGTTGTACATTGTCCCTGCATAAATAAATCAAATAAATAAAATAAATAAAATATGTTTCAAACTTTATAAAAATAGAAGAATAGTGAAAAATGTAACGTTTCTTAAACAATATTATTATTATAAATCCACAAGAAATATTCATTAATGATTAAATCGTCATATTATAATGCGTTCTGAAGGATCATCTGACTCCTACGAGCAAAAATAAAGTTTTAAATCATGAACAAAAATTATAATAATAATAATAATAATAATAATAAATCGTTACATTTATATAACGCTTTTCTGGGCACTCAAAGTGCTTTACACCAGTGTTTCTCAACAGGTGGGTCGCGACCCAAAAGTGGGTCGCAAGAACATTTTCAGTCAAAAAAACAACAAATGTTTAATTTTTAACCTATTTTGCTTAAATAAGACTTTTATTTTGAAATGTGCGAGAGACAACTGTACCGTTTGACATGTGAAATTTCATTTAATTATAGCAACAAATAAGTCAAAGCGCAAGTACAACCCCGAATATGTAAAGTATGGATTTACATATATTGACGACAAAAAAAAAGGCTTAAAACCTCAGTGTGTCATATGTAGTGATGTGCTCTCACAAGCGCACTTTTAGAAATCAAACATTTGTCGTTTTTACTTTGTAATATTTCTATAATTTGAGACATTTTGATTTGAATTGGTGATTTCCTCATGATTTATCGGTCACTACTTGTGTAATAAATAAATACAAATTAATTATAATTCCTAAAATTATATTATAGTCCTAAAAATTTGGGCCGCGGGTTGATGACCATGTAAAAATGTGCTTTACACAATGGGGGGGAATCTCCTCATCCACCACCAGTGTGCAGCATCCACCTGGATGAGGCGACGGCAGCCATTGTGCACCAGACCGCACACCACACACCAGCTGATTGGTGGAGAGGAGACAGAGTGATGAAGCCAACTATGATATGGGGAGGGTTAGGAGGCCATGATGGACAGTGGGCAGAATTGGGCAGGATGCCGGGGTTTATATATATAGTCTTTATATATTTAAATATTAAAATAAATATTGTTTAAACAGTGTGCTTTAAAATCAGAGATCTGTCTGTTTTCAGAAACATTAAAGCTGGTCAAGTGTGTCGTAAGGCCTCAGCGATGCTGCCCGCTGTGTGTGTGTGTGTGTGTTTCACTACATAACCTCGGCTGGAATGTGCAAACACACCCAAGAGAAACACGACTCCCTCCTCAATGAAGGAGCACATGAGGAGGAGCAGCTCAGAGCAGGAGACCACCACACAACACTTACAACTGGAGGAAAAGCCACACCGCCATTACGTCCAACACTCGCTATGGTAACGATATAACAAACACCATGGCAACTGCATATTTACACCACAGTAACCTGGAACGCATGCAGAGAAATGCTGCCTAGCAACCCCTCTGTAAATCCAGAATTATAGCAACATAGCAACCTTCCCTTCAGAGCAGATCTGACAAGACAGTTGTAAGTGTTGCTATGGTTTCCAGAATGGTTGTTATGGTACTGTCGGGGCACTCCAAAGTGGTTGTTAGGGTGTTGCTAGGTGTTACTATGACATTCCATGGTTGCCACAACACTGTACATGACCACTAAGCCACATATGGTTACTAGACAGTTGCTAAGGTGTTCTGAGTGGTTGTTAGGGTGTTGCTAGTTGTTACTATGACATTCTAGTGTTGCCACAACACTGAATGACCATTAAGCCACAGATAGGTGGTTGCTAGGCAGCTGCTAAGATGTTCTGAGTGGTTGTTAGGGTGTTGCTAGGTGTTACTATGACATTCCATGGTTGCCACGACACTGAATGACCATTAAGCCACAGATAGGTGGTTGCTAGGCAGTTGCTAAAATGTTCTGGACAGTTGTTAGGGTGTTGCTAGGTGTTACTAATATATCCCATAGTTGCCACAACACTGCAAATGACCAATAAGCCACAGATAGGTGGTTGCTAGGCAGTTGCTAAGATGTTATGGATGGTTGTTAGGGTGTTGCTAGGTGTTACTATGACATTCTATTGTTGCCACGACACTGAATGACCATTAATCCACAGATAGGTGGTTGCTAGGCAGTTGCTAAGATGTTCTGGACAGGTGTTAGGGTGTTGCTAGGTGTTACTATGATATCCCATGGTTGCCACAACACTGTAAATGACCATTAACCCACAGATAGGTGGTTGCTAGGCAGTTGCTAAGATGTTCTGGACAGTTGTTAGGGTGTTGTTAGGTGTTACCATGATATTCCATGGTTGCCACAACACTGTAAATGACCATTAAGCCACAGATATGTGGTTGCTAGGTAGTTGCTAAGATGTTCTGGATGGTTGTTAGGGTGTTGCTAGGTGTTACTATGACATTCTACGGTCGCCACAACACTGCAAATGACCATCAAGCCACAGATTGATGATTGCTAGGCAGTTGCTGAGGTGTTCTGAGTGGTTGTTAGGGTGTTGCTAGTTACTAAAGGGTTACTGGGATCTGAAGCAGTGGTCATTTCTCCCTCTGGGTTGATTATTGCGTGTGTTCTGGGCGTCTGGAACGCTCCGTCTGACCTCCTGACCCCTGAGATCCGCTTCCTGTCGGTGTGTGTGGACGATGACGCTCGCACACACTCAACACTTCTGTGGAAATGTGTGTGTGTTCAGGTACACATCCTGCCTCAGAGTGACCCGCTGACCGAGAGGCACGCGACCCGCAAAACACACACGCCTCGCCTTTCCTGACACACACACACAAACACACTTCCTGACCCCGCACACACACACTGAAAGATCTTACAGAGAGAGAGAGAGATCAAACAGACAGTCATAAAAGAGAGATATACACACACACACACATGTTAGTATGAATGTATGAGTGTGAGTGTGTATGCATGTATTGAATGTACACTCACCGGCCACTTTATTAGGTACACCTCACTAGAACTGGGTTGGACCCACTTTTGCCTTCAGAACTGCTTTAATCCTTCATGGCAGAGATTCAACAAGATACTGGAAATATTCCTCAGAGATTTTGCTCCATATTGACATGATAGCATCACACAGCTGCTGCAGATTTGTCGGCTGCACATCCATGATGCCAATCTCCCGTTCCACCACATCCCAAAGCTGCTCTATTGGATTGAGCTCTGGTGACTGTGGAGGCCATTTGAGCACTCATTGTCATGTTCAAGAAACCAGTCTGAGATGTTTAAAACTTTATGACATGCTGCGTTATCCTGCTGGAAGTAGCCATCAGAAGATGGAGACACTGTGCTCATAAAGGGATGGACATGGTCAGCAGCAATACTCAGGTAGGCTGTGGTGTTGACATGATGCTCAATTGGTACTAATGGACCCAAAGAAAATCTCCCCACACTATTACACCACCACCACCAGCCTGAACTGCTGACACAAGGCAGGATGCATCCATGCTTTCATGTTGTTGATGCTAAATTCCCTATTCTGATGTTCAGTTTAAACTGCAGCAGATCGTCTTGACCATGTCTACATGCCTAAATGCATTGAGCTGCTGCCATGTGATTGGCTGTTTAGAAATGTGCATAGCGAGCAGTGGGACAGGTGTACCTAATAAAGTGGCCGGTGAGTGTATAAGTGTGTGCATGTGTATGTGAGAGTATGCATGCACAGGTGTGTGTGTGTGTGTTTGTGTGAGACCTGTGTGAGGAGCTGTTCTGCACTCAGTGAGTTGATCCACCTGGTGTAGCGTTCAGTGGAGCCTTCAGGAACACGACACACTTTACAGCCCACAATCTGACAAAACACGCACACACACACACACACACACACACACACACACACATAAGAATGCAGTACAGTAGTGTTCATGCACGGTGGTTCAGTGGTTAGCACTGTGACCTCACAGCAAGAAGGTCGCTGGTTTGAGTCCCGGCTGGGTCAGTTGGCATTTCTGTGTGGAGTTTGCATGTTCTCGCAGTGTTGGCGTGGGTTTCCTCCGGGTGCTCTGGTTTCCCCCACAATCCAAACACATGCACTATAGGGGACTTGATGAACTAAATTGGCTGTAGTGTATGAGTGTGTGTGTCTGTGTGGATTTCAGTACTGGGTTGCAACTAGAAGGGCATCCGCTTTGTAAAACATATGCTGGAATAGTTGACGGTTCATTCCGCCGTGGTGATTAAGAAACTAAGCTGAAGGAAAATAAATGAGCAGTTATATGAAGTGTACAAATATCCTGCAGATTTTACATGCTTTCACACACACACACACACACACACACACACACACACACGCACACACACACGCACACACACACGCACACACACACGCACACACACACGCACACACACACGCACACACACACGCACACGCACACGCACACGCACACGCACACGCACACACACACACACGCGCACACACACACACACACACACACACACACACACACACACACACACACACACACACACACACACACACACACACACACACTCTTTGTTTCCGGTCAGTGTGTGTTTGTTTAGAGCCGCATGACACTGTTTCACCCGCAGTGACGCGGTGGTCACAGGTCAAGACAACAAACACACATCACAGAGCATGGAAACGACCTCTGAATCCCTGCTGACGCTCAATATGAACGAAAACACACACAGCAGGCTGACCGTCAGGATTAATGGACATATGACATCACTGCTCCAGGCTTCAGTCACATGACCCTGCAGAGATGGCTCTAATAGCTGATCAGTTTGTCTTCTGAACAGAAGTGTGTGTGTGTGTGTGAGTGTGTTACTGAGCACTGACCGCCGTTGGGTTTGCTGCAGCAGCTTCTTGCTGTAGTCGGACTCGCTGAGGCTTCATCACATCATCCTGAAACACAAACATACAGAGTGTGTGCATTAGTGAGTGCGTGTCTGTATGTAGAGGTGTGTGTCTGTGTATATGTGTGTGTGTGTATATATGTGTGTGTGTTTATGTAGAAGTGTATTTATTCCTATTTATTTATCTATTCCTGCTGTTTTTGTGTGTGTGTGTGTTTTAGTGTACATTAAGCCACAGGGTGTGTGTGTGTGTGTGTTCCTGCTGTGCTCTGAGCGCTGTAACTCCAATTCTGTGTGTTTCCTCTGGTCTGCTTTACAGTTCAGTGATTTCTGAGGGGTTTTCCCTGCTCTGCTTTTCCAGACGGACAGAATCAGCTCTCAGTGAGGTTTGCAGGAACGCTGGGAATCTGCTCTCGCCCAGCAGAAACACAGCGGAAACACACACACACACACACACACACACACACACACACACACACTCTCTCAATCATGCGCACACACACATATACATGCACTCATGTGCGTACACACACACACACACACTGCTGCACAAACACACTAATGTACACTCATTCACACACTCATGCAGATACACACACACACTCATTTACACACATTCACACTCACACACACTCATGTACACACATAAATACTCATACACACACAATACTTTGAACAGCACAACAACACACTTTGCATTTAGGAGTGTATTAACATTCATAGGTGGAACCCATTACACACACACACACACACACACACTCACCGCATCCTGAAAGCAGAGGAATCGTCCCGAGCTCTGACTCACAGCCTGGTTTTTGGCATATCCCACTACAGGAACAACACACACACACAAACACACACACACACACACAAATGATTGTTCAGATCAATAAATCAAGTGAGCGCTCAGGTTACTGAATCAATTGAGTGATCAGATTACTGAATCAATTGAGTGATCAGATTACTGAATCAATTGAGTGATCAGATTACTGAATCAAATGAGTGTTCAGATTACTGAATCTAATGAGTGTTCACATTACTGAATCAAATGAGTGTTCACATTACTGAATCAAAAAAGTGTTCAGATTAATGAATCAAATGAGTGTTCAGATCAATAAATCAAGTGAGCGCTCAGATTACTAAATCAATTAAATAATCAGATTACTGAATCAAATGAGTGTTCAGATTAATAAATCAACTGAGTGTTTAGATTAATGAATCAAATGAGTGTTCAGATTAATGAATCAAGTGAGCGCTCAGGTTACTGAATCAATTGAGTGATCAGATTACTGAATCAAATGAGTGTTCAGATTAATGAATCAAATGAGTGTTCAGATTTCTGAATCAAATGAGTGTTCAGATTAATGAATCTAATGAGCGTTCAGATTACTGAATCAAATGAGTGTTCACATTACTAAATCAAATGAGTGTTCACATTACTGAATCAAATGAGTGTTCACATTACTGAATCAAATAAGTGTTCAGATTACTGAACCAAATAAGTGTTCAGATTAATGAATCAAATGAGTGTTCACATTACTGAATCAAATAAGTGTTCAGATTACTGAACCAAATAAGTGTTCAGATTAATAAATCAAATGAGTGTTCACCTAACTTAATCAAATGAGTGTTCAGATTACTGAATCTAATGAGTGTTCAGATTGCTGAATCAAATGAGTGTTCAGATTACTGAATCAAATGAGTGTTCAGATTACTGAATCAAATGAATCATTCTGAGTCAATTAAACTGAATCCAACTCAATACTGATTACAGAATTACTCCTTATATTAGTTTCAGTGCAGGATCAGTTATATTAGTTTAGTCAGTCCAGTTAACATGGTCTGCGCTCACTCAAGCAGACCTCAGTGTGTGTTTGACATGTTCATCTACATGTGTGTGTGAGCTGCTGAAAGCTCGGTATGCTGAACATGAAGATGTTTCGAGCTCTAAACACTGATAACAGACTTTGCTTGATTTCTGAGCTGCATGAACATAGTGTGTGTGTGTGTGTGTGTGTGTGTCTGTTTAACATCATGATAACCAGGTCAATGTGAACACACACACACACCTCCGCGTGGGCTGGAGGATTTGTGTCCAGATATCAGCACTGAAATGCCTCTGTCCTCGAACTTCGGTCTCCATCTCTCCACCAGCTCCCTGGAGCCGTCCTGACACACACACACACACACACACACACACACACACACACACACACACACACACACACACACACACACACACACACACACACACACATTAGATGATGTTTACACCCTATCGCCTCACAGCAAGGTCGCTGGTTCGAGTCTCGGCTGGGTCAGTTGGCATTTCTGTGTGGAGTTTGCATGTGCTCCCCGTGTTGGTGTGGGTTTCCTCCGGGTGCTCTGGTTTCCCTCACAGTCCAGTACACATGCGCTATAGGGGACTTGATGAACTAAACTGGCCGTAGTGTATGAGTGTGAATAAGTGTGTGTGGGTGAGTTGCAGCTGGAAGGGCATCCCCTGTGTAAAACATATGCTGGATAAGTTGGCGGTTCATTCCGCTGTGGGGACCCCAGATGAATAAAGGGAAAAAGCCGAATAGAAAATGAATGAATGAATGTTGATAATCTGTGTGTGTGTGTGTGTGTGTGTGTGTACCGTACTGCCGTCGTCAAACACACACAGCTCCATACGACCCTGGAAATCCTGCTCCAATATCGCTTGCAGACACTCGTCCAGCCAATCAGACGCATTAAACACCGGCATGATCACTGACTGAAACACACACACACACACACACACACACGCACGCACGCAAACACACTAGTTTAGTTTAAACTTTATTGTCTGTTCTGCTTGGCACAGAAAGGAAACTTGTCTTTAACACTGGATTTAAGACAATTGCTTTTGTTTTCTGGTGATTTTATTTTTTGCTATTAAAATTAAAAATGAAAATCAAATCATTTTTGAATTTTGGTCTTTCGTTTTTCACCATGAAAAAGAAAAATTACGGCTCATTTTTCGTTATCTGTTTTTAAAGCCTAGTTCACACAACAGGATTTTAAACATCAGCAGATCGCTGTGCCGTTCACACTACATGACTTGACTTTGTGTCTTTTGATCTCTGTGGTGTTCACACTACGCAACACTCTGTGAACGATCCACAAGAGGGGGGTCACACACTACATGATCTGACAACAACTCATTCCCCATCAGCTCATTCAAGCTACCAAACCACAGCCAATGAAATGTTGAGGGAGGAGTCGTCAGAAAAAGCTGAACACTATTGGCTGCTTGTGTGCTGATGACATCACTGACAGCGTTTCAAGCTTTGGAGAAAGCATTTAAAAACATCGTCAACTCAGCTGATTTATCAGTGGATTAATCACTCATCTGCAAGGTTTGAGTGGATAGATACACAGAGAGTTTTTAATTTTTGTAATTTTATAACTCTGAAATAAAACTAACATATTTATAACACCCTGCCGTTTTCTAACTATCAGTGTATTTCTTTCTGACATTGTTATTTTTTATTAAAAAACAGTAAAGAACTGAGCATTTCTGCCTTAAATTACTATATTGGTCAAAATGACTGCATGCATGTCTGATACTATTCGCTGTGACTTTAAATATGTGTGCATTTTCTTGCCTGGCAACTTCCTGCTAACATAAACAAAACTTTCTGATGGCAAAAACCTCAATTTACTTCAGATATCTTTCAAAACAGCATATTCTGTGCTGTGAAATAGTAAATAAGTGAAAATGAAAGCCAAGACCTTTGCGTGTTCTAGTATCTTAACTACATATTTATAGGCTGTATTACCAAAAAAAAGATGATATTTTTAGGGTAATGGTGTCATTAAATATGATGCCAGACATTCAAGCTTAATTTTATCATCTCAATAATAGCTTTGAATGTAAATATGTTGTGATAATATGGTGTTTTATATGAGAACGGTCAGAATAAGCAGTATGGTAATTCTAATAGTTACAGAATTCTAGTTCCACTGTTAAAATGAAAAAATTTAAATCCAATGGCCTAAAGATACACTGACCGACTGCAAACACACAACCACCACACAGTAACAACACTCATCAAGACAACAACATGAGCTAAAAATGTAAAATCCAAATGAGCCCCATACAAACTACAGCAGATCATTCTTGGCAACCACCTCATTCACTTCCAACAGTGATCCGATTTAAAACAACATCTGCCGTTGGGATAAATGACTTTTATAAGCATTTCTTCAGTATTTACTTCGTCTAAACCTGCGTCCCGATAGTAACAATTCAAAAGCTGAGTGAAGGGGAAGTGTATTATGTCTGAACATCACAACTGCTGTTTTTTTCCATAAAGGAGTCAAATAAAATCCACACTATTTGTTGTTTGTGACCAGTTATCTTATTTGCCTGATTGATAATTTGCGATAATATCTTCTTCTGTTTGTGTTACCAAACCATGAAACAATATTATATGTGAGAACACTCTCAATCAATGATCTATAGGCCATGTTTAAAGTCTGTGTACTAACATTAAAACTTCTCAACTTGCGGAGGTAATCGAGGGGCTGACTTGCCTTCTTATAAACCGCCTCTACATTACTATTACAATTATAGAGGTAAAGTTGGTTTTATATTCGCACATTCTGACTTTCCCCTTAATAATATAATTTCATAAAGTATTATTTGTGAACTCTAAATAGCGAAATCATATTAGAAGCCAATTACTATTAAAGTACAACATTGTTCACAGTTAAATGAACAGTGTTATTGTTGTTTAGAAGTCATACTTGCATGCTAATTCTGATTGAATATTCAAAGTAACACTGTTAACAATATAGACACTTCCAAATGAGCGAATGTGCAAATATAAAACCAACTTTCCCTCTATATTAAAATTCAGTTTATTGTCAATAATTATGACCTATTGATAATGCTGACTTTTTGATAATATTACTGAAAATAATTACTTATTTTGAATGCTTAAAATTTGAGACCTGGGGCCTGTTTCAGAAAGGAGGTTAAGTGAAAACTCAGAGTATTTTAACCCTGAAATGAGAGAAACTCTGGGTTTTCCGTTTCAAAATGGCAGGTTTGTTAAACTGGAGAAAGCAGGGTAAGTCAAGCCTGTTTCTGAAAGAGAGTTAACTTTAACTCAGAGTCAGTTACTGTGGTAACTTACTCTGTGAATCTAACCTGGTCAGAAGCAGGTTTTATTCTCTAAACTCAGAGTTTCTGTCTGTCTCCTCCCCTTTTTTAAAGATGAAGCGGTATTTCTCGCCTTAGCTATACGTTTCCACCCACCTATTTTAATGCTCATTTTGGATACGTGCATAAAAACGATTGATAGAAACGTCATGATGCACATAACTTTTTAAAATATGCATAAAAAATGCGCATAACTGAGTAGGATAAACTTTTATTCGATAGAAAATGTGCGCATAAACTACGATGGAAACACTTTTACTGAACAAATTACAGTATGTACATTAAAAAAAAGATCATGATCATATGATAATGAAAATGTGTGTAAATGGACAAACCAGCAGGCTGGGCACACTGTAACACGTCTTAAATATTGTTTTAGTCATTCTAAAATGCCTTAACTGTTTCAGTATTAGTGTATATTATTAATTACCTCCGAACGTCTGGTGCGTGTCAAGAGTCTCCGCATCTCATGGCTTCAGACGCCCCCACGTGTTCATTGTGTTCGAGGCGCAAGTACATTAATTAGGCTAAATAAAGAATTAATTGACGCAGCTTCTTCTACCACAGTAAATTCTGTTTTTACTGTTGATATTTGGTGCCAGTTTAATCAGGAAGTGACAATTTTTTTCTCTTTGACTCGTTGGATGGAATTTTATTCGCATCTTTTATGCAATATTCCAGTTTTGCACATAAATTTATGTAATATATTTGGATGGAAACATAGCTATTGCCTACATTTTAGTCACACACAGAAGAACTGTACTAGAATGGCTTATGCTTTTTTAATAAATAATTAAATTAAATTCACCTTCGACATGCACTGTAACTAGATTAATGGGATTATTATTCTTTCTAAAAATTATTTTTAGTACTGCTTACCTTCTAAATGTTATATTAACCTCTATCACTTGATCAATAAAAAAGGCATACACACAAGTGCACTGTTAAATCATTTAAAACTAATAAATATATAAAAGAAAGTTTAGAAAAAAATATATAAACGTCACAAATTACATTACTTATTTTATTATACTTAAATATTTAAATACTTAAAAAGTGAAATTAGGCATTAACTTGAGCAGCTGTTTTCCCACGCTAACTGTCTCTTCTTCACTGATGGTTGCTTCTTTTCAAATATATACACTCATATTTGCTATAACTTTGCATGAGAACATCAAGTTCAGCTGGAGAAAGAAATGCTGATCTCTTTTATAAGATATTGCCATAGTCACCCGTAATGTCTGCGATCCATTGATGATGCCTTTTTAAAGTCACGGTGTGCGCACTTAACTCTGAGTTAGTCTACTCCAAGTTGATTGACCCAACTCAGATCAGCTGTTCTGAAACCGAAAACTCTGAGTTTTTAATCTCTCGGTAAATCAACTCAGAGTTCAAGTTTAAACTCTGAGTTGTTTGAACCTCCTTACTGAAACAGGCCCCTGCTCTACTATTTGTCCGACTGGTTTATAAAGTCTCTTGTTTGACTGGCCAGACACAACTCTTTTATTATATATAGAGTCACAAAACAGAGCAGAACTAAATACTAAAGAGCACAAATGTTGTACTTTGACAGTCATTGGCTGCTAATATGATTTCACTATCTATAATCAGCAAAGAATACTTTTCTGAAATGACTTTAAGTCTGACTTTAAGACTTGATCTCAATATTAGTAAGCACATGCCTATTATTAACACAGCAAACTGAATCACCTTTATATCAGCTGCAGGTTTGCTGTTCTGTTTGTTTATTCTGTGTATTTGTGCTTTTTATTTCCGCACTGAATGATCCTGGAGTTAATGTACATCTAATGTTATATCTATTTACACTGCAGTTATTTATTTATTATTAGTGAGGCTGGTGGCTCACCACTGTGTCGCTGTCGCCCTCTGCTGGTTCCCCGCCGCCATGACAGCCACTCCGCTCGCAGAAGCGCTTTGGCTCCGGTTCAGAGCCTCCGCTGAGCTCCTGTTTCCCGCTCATCTCTCAAACACACTCGCCTACGTGTGCCCAATGCTTGCGTCCAACATACATTATCCAGGATAAGCGCTCATTCTGCTTCAATACTAGTTAAATGAGGTGAATAATTGCTCGTGTTTTGGTTTCGGCTCTGTTGCTCGTGTAGGTATGAGCGCAAGCGCAGAAATGACTTCCGCATTAAGGTGGGAGCTGCAAGATGATTGGACAAGAGAAAACGCGGACACGTGTTTGCTTGGAATGAGTAGCTGTCAGTCAGCGAGCGCCGCTGTGATTGGACGGCAAACAATCACATGGTAAGCCAGACACTTTCTAGCTGTGGTTAAATGCATAATACAATAGTACGAAAAACAGTACTCAACACTTTCTCAAGACAATGTATATAAATAAACATATCTTTCGAAGAATATTAAATATTACATAAAAACATGACGCAAACAAAATCTACATTATTGCACATTTAATCTATCTATCTATCTATCTATCTATCTATCTATCTATCTATCTATCTATCTATCTATCTATCTATCTATCTATCTATCTATCTATCTATCTATCTATCTATCTATCTATCTATCTGTCTGTCTGTCTGTCTGTCTGTCTGTCCATCCTCTTTCACTGAAATGTTGATGAACTCTCGCCGGCCACTTTATTAGGTACACCTGTCCAACTGCTTATTAACGCAAAATTTTAATCAACTCACTGCATTTAGGCATGTAGACACGGTCAAGAGGATCTGCTGCAGTTCAAAGTGAGCATCAGAATGGGGAAGAAAGGGGATTTAAGTGACTTTAAACATGGCATGGTTGTGGTTGCCAGACGGGCTGCTCTGAGTATTTCAGAAACTGCTGATCTACTGGGATTTTCATGCACAACCATGTCTAGGGTTTACAGAGAATGGTCTGACAAAGAGGAAATATCCAGTGAGCGGCAGTTCTGTGGGCGCAAATGCCTTGTTGATGCCAGAGGAGAATGGCCAGACTGGTTCCAGCTGATGGAAAGGCAACAGTAACTCAATTAAGCACTCGTTACAACCGAGCTCTGCAGAAGAGCATCTCTGAACACACAACACGTCCAACCTTGAGGCGGATGGGCTACAGCAGCAGAAGAGCACACCGGGTGCCGCTCCTGTCAGCTAAGAACAGGAAACTGAGGCTACAATTCACACAGACTCACCAAAACTGGACAATAGAGCTCATTAGTACCAATTGAGCATCAACGCCACAGCCTACCTGAGTATTGCTGCTGACCATGTGCATTCCTTTATGAGCACAGTGTCTTCATCTTCTGATGGCTACTTCCAGCAGGATAACACACCATGTCATAAAGTGTGAATCATCTCAGACTGGTTTCTTGAACATGACAATGAGTTCACTGTACTCAAATGGCCTCCCCAGTCACCAGAGCTCAATCCAATAGAGCACCTTTGGGATGTGGTGGAAATTGGCATCATGGATGCGCAGCCGACAAATCTGCAGCAACTGTGTGATGCTATCCTGTCAATGTAGAGCAAAATCTCTGAGGAATATTTCCAGTAGCTTGTTGACTCTATGCAGTTTTGAAGGCACAAGGAAGTCCAACCCGGTGCTAGTAAGGTGTACCTAATAAAGTGGCCGGTGAGTGTATATTCACAAACCTAATAAAACAAACACAGTGAGAAACAGTGACATCTTCTGGACACAATAAATGTGTTTCCATCATAGCTTATGCTCAGTGTTTGTTATTATACGTATATCCAACTCAGTTGTGCTCATACATTTTGAAGGCAAATTTTCAAGATTTATGCACATTTTGGCATTTAAATTACCTTTGACAAAGTGTATTGTTGTTAAAACGTACTGGTGTACACAGAAACAAAGTTTGGTAGCATTGGCTCTGCAGTTTCAGTAAAGAATAACACTTAGCACTAAATAAATAAACAATTTAACAATAATCATATGAACCTCATCACCTTAAATGACGCATTTTCTATGTGAATTTCCAAAATGTGCATAAAACAGATGGATTGCAACAGCAAAAGTGTTTCTGAGAGCGAAAGCAAAGAAAGATCAGCATTAAAAGTGAAGAACATTCATTTATTAGTGTCTTTAACTCATCATAGTAGATTAAACGACTAACCTGACTACTTCTGAAAAGGTATTTCTCTGGTAGCGGTGATTAACAGTAAAGCTGAGATCTTCAGCTGGACTGAAGGGAATAACAGCATCGGATAATTCAGCATCGAGTCCAGAGCGACTCTAAAACACATCAGTGAGTTTTCATTGGCTATTCCTGTGTTGGGGGAGGAGCTACTGAGATCCAGACAGGAAGTGAGGCGGCTGGCCTCAGCGGATTGTAGACAGGCACGTGGAGGAGCTCGATTACAATCAGTGCCGGTTCTCCATTGATTCAAGGCAACAGAAATAAAAGCGAGGAGGGACTGTTGTGTTCCTGAAATTATCCATCATTTCTGACTGAAATACTGAGATTGGACTCCTCCGTGAGTTTATTAGCAGCATGCTGATCTTGTGCAGCAGAAGAGCGAAGCGTCGAGGAAAAATCAACACAAAGAAAGACATCAGTGTTTATAACTCTGAGTGAGAGCTGAAGAGTGAAGCTGTTATTGCTGTCATTTGCATTACAAGTAACCAAGGCCTCGTTTACACTGCCAGCTCTCGATGCCCAATTCCGGTTTGTTGCCTATATCGGATTTGTTTGCCTGTCTGTTTACACGTTCTTTTAATTGTGAGCCATATCCAATTCATGTGTTTACATTTACCATACAATTTATGACGTCGTGCATGAGTAAAGGCGGGTTTTAGCATCTGCGCCAACACTAGCCACGATGGAAGAAATGGTCTTGCTTTCAGCTCTGTGTAATATGCGTAGTTCGCCCGACTTTAAATATTTTGAAGCAGAGGAGGAGGGAAAGGGCCGTGGTCAGTGGTCAGTCGCCACTAGGGTTGTAACGGTATGAATTTTTTACGGTATGATAATCGTCTAAAACAATACCACGGTTTGACGGTTTCGCGGTATACGGTGTGTTACAAATGTTACAAAATAATAGAACAGTGAAGCAAATTTGACTTTTTCCAAATAATATATTTTCAGTTACTATAAACAACACCACTTACAATGAACAAATAAAAATAAGAAAATAATAAATAATGTGTCAAAGTCCAAATAAAGTCCAAATAAACATGGTGCAAATCCTCAGTAAAAAATAGATATAAATATTTACTATACTATAAATAGTTACATAACGAAACTAGATTCAATATGGAACATCCTTAGGTTTTATGTGCCAGCATGGATATGGTTGTCTGTGGATATGGATTTGGATTTGGTTGTCTGCAATGCAGACAAACAGCTGCAACTTCATTTGCGTCTTTTGAAAACAGCAAGAGCAGCAGTTCGTCTTTGCTGTGTCACTGTTTTGTCATGTTTCTGTGCTGCTGTGCATGCAAAAGTACTTAGTATGATGATTATTTCATGCAAAACTTTTTTTTTTGCGTTTTATTTAGCCGCGCATAAATGTAAGCCTATCTCTCATTCCGTGTTGTTCAAAAAGCTCATTGTTGGTCCACAAACAAAAGCGAAACCTATGCTTATTGGTTGTGATATAGCGAGTTTGAACCAATCTGGGCATGGAGGAGGGACAATGCATCAATGTATCATGTCTGGTTTGTCCGGAGACACAGTGACGAGCGTTTCTTTGTCAAATCAGCGTTGTCAAATTTTGATGACGTAACCGCACTGATTCCGGAGCCTCTGAAAGTCCGTGAATGTTATGTGATACAGCACTGGAAAGCTGAGATTCTCTTCTTTATGCCAATCTTTGAATTGTATGAATCGGATCAGCGGATCAAAAGTTATTAAACATTTAAGAGCAATACTTATTTTTAGCCGCGGGCAGCTGTCTCGGTCTTTAAGGGTTAAAACCGTTGATATGCAATTGTTCATGGTATGATAATCGTGCACGTTCAAATCGTGGTAAACCGTCATACCGGTATATTGTTACAACCCTAGTCGCCACAATTTTCTCCCACCAGACCTGAGATCTCTCTCGTACCCACAGATTCCTCTGAATGAACATCATATATAAACCATAGGCGTTAGCTAGGGCAGGGGTTCTCAAAGTGGGGGTCGGGACCCCTCGAGGGGTCGCGGGACAATGAAGGGGGGTCGCCTGGTGATTTAAAAAAATCTATTTATTATTATTAAATCATATAGGAATGACCATATTTTATCCATAACCTACAGAAGAGAAAAAATATAGTCGTTTTTAATTACTATATAGTTACTTTAGTAGCTTCTAGTTACTAGTTCTACAGGATTGCGACCCCAGTGGTAATAACATTATATTAAAGACACAGCAATAGCGTCAGATGCAGCAGATTGATTTTATAACACCAGGTTAAAGTTTCTGGCCCATTTACCGCACTGACATTAAATGAAGAATATCCCTGGGTTTATGGGTGTGTGTGTGTGTGTGTGTGACATTGCATGCAAGGTTTTTGTATTCATAACCAGGATATTGGGGGTCGCGAGTCACTGGCATCGTCATATTGGGGGTCGCAGGCTGAAAAGTTTGGGAACCCCTGAGCTAGGGTACGAGAGAGATCTCAGGTCTGGTGGGAGCAAATTGTGGCGACTGACCACTTTCCTCCTTCATGTTTCCTCTGTTGTTGTTGTTGTTTACAGTGTCGGAATCTCCACACAAGCTCTACCTTCTACGTCATTAAACTGCAGGGAGCACCACATTGTCGCAAGTTTAATGATGTACAAAACAGAATGCCTGAATAAATCCGATCTGCCTGTTTACATGATAGTCGCACATATCCGATTTATTTCCACATATGAAGGAGGCCTGAAATTGATCCCTGAATATCTGAATGCATGAGTTTTTTTCTGTGTTTACACGATCATAGAACAGATGTGTCCCATATAAGCAAAAAAATCGGAATTGAGTCACATTTAACTGGCCTTGTAAACGGGTCCCAATATTTGACGGAGGGGATGACATATATTAAAAGCCTATAAAATCCTTGGGTTGATGATTTGGCTTTTGGTTAAGTATATATTTTCCGTTCATTTCAGGGGGTTAAAAAAAAGAAAAGAAAAATAAGAATAAAAGATATAAAAATAACAAGGTAAGATTAAAGAAAATAAATATACCTGATTACAATAAATATTAAATAAATAAATAAATTATATTTTTATAGTACATTAGAGTATATATGTAGATGAAATAGAAGATTTTTCAATAATATTTCATAAATATTAATACTTTACAGTCTAAATTGGCTCTTTAAATATTAAATTTGATATCTGCTTTTTACATTTATAAGATTAGGCAATTATGAACATATCTTTGGGGGTCTTTAGCCTTTAAGATATTATAAACCTGTTACCTAGATATTTTAGGGCCAGTGCATGTTTTTAAATTTTAAATCTGACCAAAAACATGACACAATAAGAATATGCATTATGATAACTAAACTCTGTTTTGATCTTCAAGCAGTATAAATGATATAACCCACGCTCCTGCATGTAAAATGTCTTAATATTAGGTCCAGAATACAGTTAGCCAGCATTAAATGTGTATTGTCTTATTGAAAAAGTACTTTTCACTAAAGACAGAGTCTTCTGTAACAATCAAAGTCTTCAGTTGAGCTCTTCGGTGGATTCACACTGAATCTGAATCGCTGTAATCCACTTTTGAGTCTGCATGTTTAAAGCTGGGCAAGGAGTGTGACTCTGTTTGTTGGCTTATTAGACAAGTGCTTTCACAAAAACTTACTGTTCAGTAATGATCATAGTCTTAAAATGAGTTCTTTAGAGCATTCACACTGAATCTGAATCGCCTTAATCCGCTTTGAGTCTGCATGTTTAAAGCTGAATTTCAGGGCGAGGGGGTGTGACTGTGTTTGTTGGCTTATTGGATGAGTGCTTTCACAAAAACTCACTGTTCAGTAACAATCATAGTCTTTAGATGAGGTCTTCAGAGCATTCACACTGAATCTGAATCGCTGTAATCCGCTGTGAGTCGGCATGTTTAAAGCTGTATCTCAGAGTGAGGGGCTGTGGTTCTTTGTTGGCTTATTAGACAAGTGCTTTCACTAATAACTCACTGTTCAGTAACTATCATAGTCTTTAGATGAGGTCTTCAAAGCATTCACACTGAATCTGAATTGCTGTAATCCGCTTTGAGTCTGCATGTTTAAAGCTGGGCAAGTGGTGTGACTGTGTTTGTTGGCTTATTAGACAAGTGCTTTCACAAAAACGTACTGTTCAGTAACGGTCACAGTCTTAAGATGAGGTCTTCAGAGCATTCACACTGAATCTGAATCGATGTAATCCGCTTTGAGTCGGCATGTTTAAAGCTGTATCTTAGAATGAGGGGCTGTGGTTCTTTGTTTGTTGGCTTATTGGACAAGTGCTTTCACTAATAACTCACTTTTCAGTAACTATCATAGTCTTTAGATGAGGTCTTCAGAGCATTCACACTGAATCTGAATTGCCATAATCCAACTTAAGTCAGATGAAGGTGTTGTGGTTTCGGCTTTGGTGTTGTGTTTGATGATTTATAGGAAAAGCATTTTCACAAAATATTGAATTTTCATCAACAATCATAGTCTATAGTTCAGATTTCCAAACCCTTCACATGGAATCGGATTCACTTTAATCCAGTTTGAGTGTTCACATTTAAAGCAGTGTCTCAAAGGAAAAGTTTTTAGCACTGACCACCGTGGTGCTGTTTGTTTCACTAAAATGAACTCTTCAGTAACAATCATTGTGTAGATATGAGCTCTTCAGCGCATTCAAACTGAATCTGAATCACTTTAATCCAGTTTTGGTGTCCACATTTAAAGCAGTGTCTCAGAGAAAGGGGTCCTGGCTCTGTGTTAACTTTTTGGGAAAGTACCTTCATTAATACTGACTCTTCAATAACAATCAAAGCCTCCAGACAAGCTTTTCAGTGCCTTCATCAACAGTCATTTTCTAGAGATAAGCTCTTCAGACTGTTCACACTGAATCCGAATCAGTGTAATCCGGTTTGAGTCTGCATGACAAAAGCAGTGTCTCCAAGGAAGGGGTCAGAGCTCTGTGTTTGTCAGCTATTTGCAAAAGTATTTTTACTAAAAATAACTGTTCAATAACTATCATAATCTTCAGATGGGCTCCTTAGTCCATTCACACTGAATCTGAATCAATTTAATCCAGATATGGCGTCCAGATATATAGCAGTGTTTTAAAGGAAGGGGGTGTGGCTCTGTGTTTGTTGGCTATTGGAAATATACTTTCACTAATAATAACTTCAGTAACAAGCATAGTCTTCAGATGCGCTCTTCAGTGCATTCACACTGAATCTGAATCACTATAATCCAGTTTGAGTCTGCATGATTAAAGTCTCTGAGTAAGGGGTTGTGGCTCTGTGTCAGTTTTTTTTAGGAAAAAAACTCGTTATTTTTCACAAAAATAACTGTACAGTAACAATCATAGTCTTCAGTTGAGCTCCTCAGTGCTTTCACATTGAATCCGAATCACTTTTATTATGTTTAAGTGTCTACATATATAGCAGTGTCTTGGGGGATGGAGCTGTGGCTCTATGTTGGCTATTGGAAATGTACTTTCACTCAAAATAACTGTTCAGTAACAAGCATAGTCTTCAGATGAACTCTTTAGTCTATTCACACTGAATCTGAATCAGTGTAATCCAGATTGAGTCAGTATGATTAAAGCGGTGTCTCTGAGGAAGAGGATGTGGCTTTGTGTTGTTGGCTTATTGGAACTTTCGCTAAAAATAACTGTTCGGTAACAATCATAGTCTTCAGATGAGCTTCTCAGTGCATTCACATTGAGTTTGAGTGTTCACATTTAGAGCGGTGTCTCAGAGGAAGGGGTTGTGGCTCTGCTGTAGTCTCTGTCGGCTGGAGGGTGGCAGTGGGACAGGCGTGAGGGGCAGCAGCGGCTGGGGCAGGTTGCTGGGAAGCTCCAGCAAGCCGTGGTGAGGCTGTGTGAAGGACGAGGGCAAAGTTTGAGGTTTGTGTTGCAGGTTGGGCAGCGGCAGAGATGCGCTGTAGGACAGAGCGTGAGCCGGCAGAGGAGACGTGGAGTGAGGACGCATCTGATTCAGAGTCAGTCTGGGCTGCTCACAGTGGAAGGGGTTCGTGGGAGACGGCGTGCTCAGACCTGCACCAACAACAACAACAAACACAATGCAATTTTAATCAAGTTTCCAAAGCAAATATTTCCCATTTTTGTTTAATTTATGCTCAGGAATAGTGACTCTTTAACTAATAAATAGTCAATAAATAACTAAAAACACAGTACAATAAATATATGAGGTAAAATAAATAAAACATATAATTACTTTAGAGAAAAACAATATTAACCACTTAAACTCTGCTGCTATTTGGAGATTTCCACCTGGATTTTGCCTACCCAAATTTAAAAGTTTCTCAAATCCACATGCAGAGGTGTAAATGCAAAAATTTGGTATCATTTTAAAGAAAACCCTTTGAATTTTCATAAAACAATATTGAAAGTGTTTAAAATATCTGTATATGTCGTCTGTGTTATAATAAACACCTAAAAAAAGAGGCGCTTTTTGTATTTTTTTTATTAACTCAAATTTGAAAGTGTACCTTTTAGGTTCTGTGTGGTCTAGTGTGCTGTAATTAATTTTGGTGGTTCCTGCACATGTCTGTAATCAAAGGAAAAAATAAAAATGTCTCCACCATAATCTATGCAAAAGTTATTGCATTCCAACTGATGAGAGGTGCTGTACAAGCCACAGGGAGCGATCCTTGTTTTTTATATTTCACTATTCTTTTGTTTGATCAAACATAATTCACTGTGTTTGGAGCACGTCAGACATATAAAAGGATTACTTATGCACATCACCTCAAAAACAGAAAAGAATGGCCCAGAAGCACACAGCATAAGGTAAGAGATGACAGCTGTCTGTGCTATCTGGGGCTGCTTATTGATCACAAATGTATTGTTTACATTTCTGCGCCATGAAAACACCACAATTCATTCACCAACTGTTTGGCATATGAATATAATTCAGTAAAAAGAAAGATAGAACTGTATGAGCACCGGCAAGAGCTTTCATTTGAGCTATAACTTGTACATGTGTCATATAAACAAATATGAAAATTAACCAATGTAAAATACCTAGCTCGGAATTCCAAAATACTGTGTATTTAAGTGTAAATAACTTTTATACAGTAGAATAAAAACCAAAGTGATGCATGTGTGCATAAAATATGGATTCTACACTTTCAAACAACACCACTTACGGGGGTCTGGTGCAACGCTAGCCCTTTAAATCTGAAAGCGAAAGTCGATGATGTCACAGACCTGGTACCGGGTCCGCAGAGTTTAAGTGGTTAAAACACAAAATAAAATTACTAAAACTTAAATAGATACAATTAAAATAACACTATGCTGAAGATTCTAAAACTATTTATAAAAAAAAAAAATAGGGTACTGAAAAGAAAATAATTTTTAGCATTAATAAATGTAATTATATTAAGACTATTAGGTGGTAAAAAGCCTTCCTGACCATTTATTCACACTTTACTTGTTCCAAACCTGTATGAGTTTCCAGCATTCTTCAAAGTATCCTCTTTTGTTTTGAACAGAAAAAAGAAACTCTTAAGCACGTCTTAAATAAGTAAAGGGTGAGTAAATGATGACAGAACGTAAATTTTTTGGTGAACTATCCCTTTAAGGACTTTCAGAAAGTGTCTAAATCTGTCAGCGACAGTTCTCTGACCTGACAGGAAGGGGTTTTTGCTCTTGACCGGAGGATTTGTGGGGATCAGCGTGTCCAGGTTGACGAGGGACGCCGCGGTGGGTCCGAGAAATGCTTCAGGGGTCCGACACTGTCTGCGGGTCGCTGTGTCCAGAGGAGGCCCAAGGCGTGACAGGTCAAATGCCTCAGGACTGTCATTCTCTCGTCCGTTCACATGAACACCGAGAACCAGCTCTCCAAACTGATCACCATCTGAAACCAGAGATTGAGATCAGTTGCTGTTCAGTTCTTTCTATGTGATTTAAAAACTAAAAGGCTTTTATCGCCACCTGTTGGTTCGATATTCCCCTAAAAAGCATCACAGATAAAAAAAAAAATGAAGACTCCGTTTATAAATATCCCTGTGTAGGCGTGGACACCTTAGCTGAATGCAGAGGGAAATCTGTGTATATGTGTTCTGATGGGCACCTGCAGGACTCTCACAGCGAGGGCTGAACACTCGGTTTGGCCCCTCCCTCTCCAGTGGAAGCCCCTCCTCCTCCACCTGAAGCTCCTCCTCCTCGGGAATGGAGAATGGGTCCCTCCCACTCACTGACATTTACATATTTAAAGAGAAAAGCTGTATTAGAACGTAAAGGCTGTGTGTTGTAGCATCTAATCCAAAAATAAATAAATAAATAAAGGTAGTATGTAAAACGAGATGTAAAATGTTTATTTGAGTGGTTTATTCAAGCTTGGGACAGAAATATCTGCTCAAAATCGAAAAATGGAGTTGAAATTTGCCCTACTGTGAAATTGTAATTCTTTTACAAATATTACCAAGTGCTGTTTTTTAAACATAATAGCTTTAATAACTATTATATTACCTATTATTTATTATATTAACTATTATATAACATTACCTATATTCACTGAGAAACGGTTAAAAAAATATTCATTTAATAATATGCTGAGTGCTGTGATATAAATTGCCATTTTGACAGTACAGATTTCATACAGAAAACAACTTACTATGATGTAAACACATGCTGAATTTCAGGGCTATCAGTACTTGAACTTGATTAACATGTGGTCTGATTGGGTTTTATGATGTTGTACCTAATCTTGCTGGGCTCCTCCAGACTTTTTCATCCATAGTAGAGGTGGAGTTTGAAGGTGGGGCATCCCAGGGGTTGGTTGGTGATTGGCGGGTTCCCCACTGGCGGGCGGGACTACTGGAGGAAGGGCGGGCCATCCAGGGACTCCCAGCCACTGGGTTATTAGACTTTACTACAGCTGAAACACAGAACAAAACAATGAATAAACACTGTTATTAGGGCAAAAAGTAAACCACTAAAAGAATGTTAAGATAATAAATTCCACAATAAATATAAATAATCAGTGTAGATAATGTTTAATTTAAAAAGGCTCCACATTGTGATCTATGGATAATTTTTGCATATATTAACTATATATTGTTTTTTTTCAATGCTGTAAAAAGTTATCCGAATTCAGATGGAATTCCCCAAGACATTTTTCTTTTGTGTTGAAATGGTGTTAAAATAACGTTATGTGTTGTTTCCATATTGATAAAAGCAATAAACCAACGCTGATGCAACATTTAATGCAACATAATTTTTAAATATTAACAAATCAAATTGATCAATGTTGCCACATTAGAAATATCTGCAAAATCAAAGTTTTAGAATATAAAAAAAACAACAATCATGAGCATCAATAGAATTTCCAAACCAGTATTGATTAAACCAATGCATAAGAGTTTATTTGATTTCATTTTTCATTGATTTATTACACATTAAATAGTTCAAATTGCCACTATATGAGATTTTTAAAATACTTTTACTCCTTTAAGCTAATCTATCCTTGGCATTCGGCAAAATGTGATTATATTTTGATGTAACCTCAATGACAACATTGAAACAACACAAATACAACACTGAAACAACCCTTACAGCTGAACACATCAAATTAGTAGTTACATCAGATGTCATAATTATTACAGCTGACTGAACTGCAATCAATAGCTAGCTGGAATTATAAATGAGTGTGCTTGCATCTGACCGGAGGGCCCCCAGGGGTCAGCGGTGGCGGGACAGGAGGAGGGAGCATCCCAGGACTCGTCTCTCAGGGGTCCTGTAGGCGTGGAGCTGAATATATCCACCAGATCCATCATGGCGGACTGAAAGACAAGAGCAGCGTCAATGAAGACCACCAGTGTGTATGTGTGTTCTGGTTTTATGAGGACATGAATGTGTTTAATGACATCGGCATAATCTAGATATGACAATGTTGAGGTGGTTTATGGGGACATACCTTGTGTCTTTGTAAATCAAAACCGTTAAAAGTCATACTTACAAAGTTGGTATAGGAGTAGGACCATATAATAAGTGTTTTTTTATAGTATAAAGTACATTATGCCTCCAGAGAGTCCTCATAAACCACCAATACCAGTATATATACCAGAATAACAGTTCTGTGTGTGTGCTTATGTACTGGTATTACTGGTTTATGAGGACACAAATTTGTATAATGACATGGCTATGAACTAGTTATTACAACGTTGAGGTGATTTGTGGGGACATATCTTGTGTCTTTATAATCCAAAAACTGTTAAACATCATACTACTGTCCTTTAAAGTGCTTTGAAATATGCTAATTTTATTTAAAGTCTGACATTATCAACTGAAACTTAAACAAAGGCCAGGCACAGAGTAGCTCCTCCCCTTTGGGTTGGGTTATTATGGGTGGGGCCATATAATAAGTGGTTTTTACAGTATTAGATACATTATGCCTCTGGAGAGACCTCGTAAACCACCAATACCAACAGTTCTATGTGTGTGTGCTTATGTACTGGTATTACTGGTTTATGAGGACACAAATGTATATAATGCCATGGCTATGAACTAGTTATTACAACATTGAGGTGATTTATGAGGACATTTCTTGTGTCTCCATAATCCAAAACTGTTCAAAATCATACTTAGGTCCCTTAAAGTGCTTTGAAATATGCAATTTGTTTGACATAATCAACTGAAACCTAAAGAAAGGCCAGACATAGAGTAGCTCCTCCCCTTTGGGTTGGGTTATTATGGGTAGGGCCATATAATAAATGTTTTTTACAGTATAAAATACATTACGCCTCTGGAGAGTCCTCGTAAACCACCAATACCAGCATTTGTGTGTGTGCTTATGTACTGGTATTACTGATTTATGAGGACACATTTAGCTATCAACTAGTTATTACAACGTTGAGGTGATTCATGAGGACATATCTTGTGTCTTCAAAATCCAAAACTGTTCAAAATCCTACTTAGGTCCCTTAAAGTGCTTTGAAATATCCTATTTGTTTTTGAAGTTTGACATAATCAACTGAAACCTAAAAAAAGGCCAGACATAGAGTAGCTCCTCCCCTTTGGGTTGGGTTATTATGGGTAGGACCATATAATAAATGGTTTTTACAGTAGAAAATACATTACGCCTATGGAGAGTCCTCGTAAATCACCAATACCAATGTGTGTTTGTGTTTCTCACCTCTGGAGGGCCCGAGTGTCTCTCGCCCTCTCTCTCCTGTTGAACAGGAGGGTCGTCACCATGTCGGCTGCGCTGATCCTGAAGCACAACACACACACACACACACACACACACACATTAGTGAAGGAGCAGCGGTGCATTCCCTTCAGACCCATAAAAGATCTCCAGAAAAAAAAAAGTTGGCATTTCTGTGTGGAGTTTGCATGCTCTCCGCATGTCGGTGTGTGTTTCCTCCGGGTGCTCCGGATTCCTTCACAGTCCAAACACATGCGCTATAGGGGAATTGAACTAAGTTGGCCTTAGTGTAGTGTATGGGTGTTTCCCAGTACTGGGTTGCAGCTAAAAGGGCATCAGCTGAGTAAAAACTATGCTGGAATAGTTGGCGGTTCATTCCCCTGTAGCTACCCCTGATAAATAAGGAACTAAGCTGAAGAAAAATGAAATGAATGAATTCTGAAGTGGTCGTGATATCAATACAGCACATGTTCATTAGCACTGTATATTGAATTATTGAAGATGTGCAGTTGTTTATGTCTGCTCAGCTCTGATCTCCTCCTCCGCCTCAACAATAGCAGGAGTGCAGTGATTGGCTGAGCTGGACAGGAGTGTTTAAAGCTTGAGCACAGTGATTGGCTAAGCTAGACAGGAGTGTTTAGATCTCGAGCACAGGGATTGGCTGAGCTGGACAGGAGTGTTTGGAGCTCAGCGCTGTGCTGGATTTGGGTTAATGTGTGTTATTTTGAGCAGCGTGTGGTTTCTGCTCCTCCACTCAGTCCTGCGGGACGCAAATATTCAGAAACAGCAGCAAAGGTCAACAGGAAAACTCCTCCAGCTCGTCTTTCTGCTCACGCTACACTGAAAGATGAACATTACACACACACAGACACACACACACACACACACACACACAAAGATGCAGAGTGATGCACACACACAAATACACACAGACAGACACACACACAGACTGACACACACTGACCGACACACACTGACATGTAGACACAACCAAACATATAAACACAAAAACAAACACACACACACGTACACACACACACACACACACACACATGCAGATACACAAACACAAATGCACACAGACACACAAATAAACACAGATGCACACACACACATACACAAAGAAACAGAGAAACACAAACACATACAAAAGCATGCAGATACACACAAACACGCACACACATACACAAATACGCGCAGACGTGCACACACACACACACACACACACACAAAAACATAGATTCACACATACATACAAACACACATACACACATATACACAGACACATAGACACACCAGCTTAAATGTTGTATGTGTGTGGGTTTAGAGGTTTGTGTGTGGGTGTTTGTGGAGGTTTGTGTGTGTTTCACGTGTTTGTGTTTGCTGTACCAACTTGAATGAAATGTTTTGGTTTGTGTGGGTTTCTGCAGGTGTGTGTGTGTGTGTGTGTGTGTGTCTGTTTGCTGTAGCTGATCATCATCAGTTGTGTGTGTGTGTGTGTTTTTTGGAGGTTGTGTGTGTTTGTTTATGAAGGTTAGTGTGTGTGTGTGTGTGTATTGTACTTGTTTATCAATGTATGTGTGTGTGTGTGTGTACCTCTCTGCTCATGGCCAGAGCTAGCTGCAGCTGAAGCTCTTCTTCTCCACTCGTCTGCGGCCGTGTTTGCTCCAGATCAGACGCCCTGGGGGACGAGGAGGAGGCTGACGCACACACACACACACACGTACACACACACAGTTTCATTTGATGGCTCTGTCATAATCCATCAGCATCTTCCCTCACTTATACTGTCAGTGTGTGTGTGTGTGTGTGTGTGTGTGTGTGCGTGTGTGTGTGTGTGTGTGAATTAAAAACTCAAAACTAAAGCATGTATATTATATTAAATACTATAAACTACGCGACTATAATCCACTAGAGCATGTTCACAGGCAGTGTTCTCAGTTGTGTTTACGTGCAGACTCACAGTTGAAGGATGACGGGGATCCTCTGGAGTGGTTGAACTCTTCCCCGTACAGAGCTGCCATGCTGGGCTGACTGCTGCGTCTGCTGGGGTACGCTGGTGGAGCTCCTGCCGCCATCATCCTCTCTTTGGTCTTGAGTGCCTGCGCTCGCTCCGCCCGCAGCCGGTCCTCGTCCCGCAGCAGTGCCACCAGCTGCTTGGCCTTCTCGCGCACGTTGACGCCCTGATCGCGCCCGTCCCGGTCCACATACTGGAAGTCTCGGAGCGTCTGGATGGTGAAGGCGTTCTCTCGACACTGCTGCGCCACACGCTCCGATCCCGTCTTGGCCAGATAATCCAGCAGCGTCAGAGCCTGGAGGACACACACACACACACACGAGCAGATAAACACACATTTAACTCCATTATTTTAACACACATTGGGTAGCACTGTCGCCTCACAGCAAGGAGGTCGCTGGTTCGAGCCCTGGCTGGGTCAGTTGGTGTTTCTGTGTGCAGTTTGCATGTTCTCCCCGTGTTGGCGTGGGTTTTCCCTGTGTGCTCTGGTTTCCCCCACAAGTCCAAAGACATGTTAGTGTATGAATTTTAATGCAAGAGTGTATGGATATTTCCCAGTACTGGGTTGCAGCTGGAAGGGCATCCGCTGCATAATAACATAAGCTGGAATAGTTATCGGTTCATTCCGCTGTGGCCACCCCTGATGAATGAAAGGACTAAGCCGAAAAGAAAATGAATGAATGAATAGTGCCGGTCACCTTGTAGACGTGTCTCCAGTTCTTGCCGTGGTCGTTCAGCCTCTTCCACACCATGGCCATGACCTCGCTGAAGGCCACCACGCTGAAGGTGAGCTCGGCGATCTCCGACATAAGGGAGCTGGACGGGCCCCAGGGGTCATTAGAGGTCGCCTCGCGCACCTTGATCTCCGCATCCGAGTAATTGTGCACGATGTTCTTCACCTGCCGCCGCAGAGCCGAGGTCGTCATCACGAGTGTGTGTGTGCAGTGGTTTAGCTATACTTGTGAGGACTCAGCTGTCCTATAGCGAGATTGAGCATAGAACTTATTCTTCATGTACGAGCGGACACAAGCATTGGACTCTTTTTGACTTAAGACGTCCGCTCTTGTTCACTTCCATTGATTTTTAGATGATGAAAGCAGCTTGTTCTGCTGTTTGATGTTGCAAACTGATCTTTTTCTTATATTGCTATTCTACTTTTCATGTATAGTCATTAACACACGTTTGTAAAGTGAGTAGTTTGACAGCTTTCTGCCATTTATTATTCATAGTCATCAGAATCAGAAGTTCCAAAACAATCGCACAAACGAGCGCACTTCCACCCTGCCAAATAAGGTCAATAGTGAGAAATCAAAACGACCCACTAGTGCTGACATTTCACTGCTCCTCACTGATTAAAAAGCTTATAAATAAAAATCTCTAATGATGTTTCTGTCATGTTTGGTTTTGGGGTAGGCTATAGATATTATCATTTACCTGCTATAAAAAAAAACAATGGAAGTCTATGTAATGTCCTTACTAAGATAGTTGCATGTTTTATCCCTTTGTCATTTGTGACTTCACTGTTTTTGTATGTGTGATGATGTGTTTTCAATTTTAGGTTGCCTAAAAATCTGGCAGAGGGCAACAGATAAAAATTAGCCCTTGTGGCTAACTCTGGCTAATTTACAGTTTTACTGTTTATTAATGAGCATTGTCCCTGTTAAATAAAATAAATAAATAAATAAAAACTTCTATATCGAGATATTGAGATCAAAATGACCCTCTAATGTTGACTCTTCACTGCTTCTCGCTAATTTAAATCCTTATAAATAGAAAATATTTATGTTTTTATTAGGGTTTGGTTAAGGGGTACAGCTAGGCTATAGATATTATCATTAACTGATATTACAAAAACAATAGAAGTCTATGTACTGCCCTTACTGAGAACCTGTGTGTATGTGTACTGGTTTAGCTATACTTGTAAGGGCTCACTTATACAGTGAGATATGAAAACCACCCACTAGTACTGACATTTTACAACTCCTCACTAACTAAAATGCATTAAAAAGGGAAAGAAATATGCTTTTATTAATATCTAATGATGTTTCTATTAGGTTTGGTTTAGTTAGGGTGTAGACAGTGTCATTAACCTAATATAAAAACAATGGAAGTCTATGTAATGTCCTCACTAAGATAGTTTGAGAAACCCCTGTGTGTGTGTGTGTGCACTGGTTTAGCTATACTTGTGAGGGCTCACTTATATAGTGAGATATGAAAACCACCCACTAGTGTTGACATTTCACTGCTCCTCGCTAATTAAAATGCTAAAAAAGGGAAAGAAATATGCTTTTACCAGTATCTAATGATGTTTATGTGAGGTTTGGATTAGTTAGGCTGTAGACAGTGTCGTTAACCTAATATAAAAACAATGGAAGTCTATGTAATGTCCTCACTAAGATATTTAGACAAACCTGTGTGTGTGTGTGTATGTGTGTGTGTGTACTGGTTTAGCTATAATTGTGAGGGCTCAGTTGTCCTATATCAAGATAGTGAGATCAAAATGACCCACTAGTGTTGATATTTCACTGCTACTTACTAATTTAAATGTTTATAAATGGAAAGGAAACGTGTTATTATTGGGGTTTGGTTTAGGGGCTATAAGCCAGGCTATCGATATTATTATTAAACTGATGAAAAAAAAACAATGGAAGTCTAAGTAATGTCCTTACTGAAATAGACAGCAAACCTGTGTGTGTGTGTACTGGTTTATCTATACTTCTGAGGACTTAAATACTGAGATATGAAAACCACTGACTAGTACTGAAATTTCACAGCTCCTCACTAATTAAAACACTTATAAATAAGCCAGAACATGTTTTATTAGTATCTAATGATGTTTCTGTGAGGTTTGGTTTAGTTAGGGTGTAGACATTATCATTAAAGGTGTGTGTGTGTGTGTGTGTGTGTGTGTGTGTGTGTGTGTGTATCTCTGGCCTCCTGCTGTCAGTCAGATGAGTCAGGCTAAACACAGAGAGACACCTAAAACAGAGAGAAACAGAGAATAAATAAATAACACAAACACTGCTTTTCTGTTCTGCAGACACACACACACACACACACACACACACACACACACACACACACACGCACACACTGACTCAGAGTTTCATGCAATGCTAGTTTTATTCTCTATATTGGAATACAGTCATTAAGTTGTCATGGCAACAAACACAAGCAGATACACAGATATGGAAAGCAGCAGGAGCCCATCAGAACATTCCCTGCATTTATCATTCATAGTTGTGCTTTTGAGTGCAATTTCAGTTTGCTTTTATTATGTAAACTCCTGATGCAGATATATGGCATGCATGATGTAATGCATGATGCTCGATTGGTACTAATGGGAAATAGGAAATCTCCCCCACACCATTACACCACCACCACCAGTCTGAACTGCTGATACAAGGCAGGATGATCCATGCTTTCATGTTGTTGATGCCAAATTCTGACCCGACCATACGAATGTGGCAGCAGAAATGGAGACACATCAGATCAGGCAACGTTTCTCCAATCTTCTATTGTCCAGTTTCTGAAATACTCAGAGCAGCCCGACTGGCACCAACAACTGTGCCACGTTCAAAGTCACTTAAATCCCCTTTCATCCCCATTCTGATGCTCGCTTTGAACTGCAGCAGATCCTCTTGACCATGTCTACATGCCTAAATGCATTAAGCTGCTGCCACGTGATTGGCTGATTATAAATTTAAGTTAACGAGCAGTTGTACCCAATAAAGTGGTCTGTTAGTAGGGTAGGTCCGATAGACGATGCCATCGTCCATCGCCGATGGCCAATAGCCAACTTGATGCTGAGCCGGCATCGCGACCCATCGCCCCGCCCCCATCCCAAAGCCGCTTGCGAAAAATACACACTGAGGCCCTGTTTACACTCATACGTCTAAGTGTAAAATGCCATTTTAGAACAAAAATGATCCACATCCACACTGTTTTCCCAAGCATTTCTGAACAGCCCTCCGTCCGCTGAAAACGCACATCACGTGACCACACACACACTTATAGCCACACGCTGTCATGCGCTCCTCTGAGCTCCAGGCAGAGAGCAGCGCACGTCGGAGAGTTTATGAAAGATGTGCCGCTGGATCGCGTCTCACTACAGTTGTTTAACGTGATATTTAGACATCCCAAGTCTCCTGGAAGTTCCGGGAGTTTCTATGCAATTGTGGGAGTCATATTGCCTGCAAACGAGTTGCCACCCCCCCGCATTTTTTTAAATGATGAAGATGCCATCGTCCATCGCGATGCTTCACATTAGACGTCGTACGATGCCAAATTGGTCCACATCGCCCAACTCTTTCTGTTAGTGCAGATGCTCTCAACTGTTTTGGCCATGGCACCCACATTTTTACATGGTCACCAAGCCGCGACCCAAATTTTTAGGAACTATAATACAATTTTAGGAATTATACTTAATTTGTATTGATTTGTTAACATAAACAAGTACTGACAGATAAATCATAAGAAGTTCACCAAGACTTACAAACAATATTTCATTGTTGTCATTTAACAAAATGGATCAAATTATAGAAATATTACAAAGTAAAAACGACAAATACTGTTAATAATAAACTGTTAAAAAAACATGTCTGGTTTCTAAATGTTGTTTTAATTTAGAAGGTTTCATGAGAGCACCTCACTACATATGACACCGAGGCTTTAAGTCTTTTTTGTTAACAATATATATATATCTATACTTTATATATTCGGGGTCGTACTTACGCTTGATATTTGTTGCAATAATTAAATGAAATTTCACATGTCAAACAGTAGGGTTGTCGCGTACACATTTCAAAATAAAAGTCCGGTATAAGTGTAACGGAGGCCAGCTAGTGTGTGCTGTGCAGGTAAACCTCACTCCTCTGACCTCTAAAGGTGCTCTAGCGACAGGCGCTAGGGGACATGGTCTTTAGACTCCTTGTTAGAGCAAACGACTCCCATGCAGAAGGTCGCCAGTTCGAAACCAGCTTGGAGCGGGTTGGGTGGTGTAGAGCCGGTGGGGTTACATTGGTGCTGTGACCCGGATGGGAGTGAGGTTTAGGGGGGTGAGTGTAACGGAGACCAGCTAGTGTGTAGTGTGCAGGTAAACCTCACTCCTCTGACCTCTAAAGGTGCTCTAGCGACAGACGCTAGAGGCCATGGTCTTCAGCCTCCTTGTTAGAGCAACCGACTCCCATGCGGAAGGTCGCCGGTTCAATACCAGCTCGGAGCGGGTTGGGTTGTGTAGGACTGGCGGGGTTACATAAGCAAAAATAAGTAAAAAATGTTACTTTTGTTGTTTTGTTTTTGAACACACACTCCGCGACCCACTGAAAATGTTAGGAGTCTAACCCACCAGTTGAGAAACACTATGTTAGTGTATATTGCATCACCAAAAATGACTGAGGTCATGTCCATGTGTAGTGCGATAAGTCCATATACTGATTATTGTGACAGGCCTAATTTACACATGCAGATGTTTTCCTGAAAAGTCTCCATTTCCCTGTATAAATAACAGCGTGAGTTGAGTGATTACTGTTGTATTGATGTGAGGCCTGTGGAGGGTTAATGAGCTTTTCAAGGCAGCTCTGCTAATTAAACATGCCTCTTCATTTGAGGGATCACCATTTGCAGGATCATCAATAATTCATCCAGCTCTCCAGTTTGCACTTATCTTAAAATAAATAAAAACACAGGAGGGGAAGTGGGTCGACAGAAGAGACGAGTGTTATCTGTCCAGTCCAGATTCAAGCAACTGTCCTTCAGACTAAAGGTAAGTCATAGGCTCAGTATATTAAATACAGATGCAGTCAGAATTATTCACCCCCCTGTTTATATTTTTTCCCTAATTTCTGTTTAACGGAAAGAAGAGCACATTTCTAATCATAATAGTTTTAATAACTCATCTCTAATAACTGATTTATTTTATCTTTGCCATGGTGACAGCACTCAATATTAGACTAGATATTCTTCAAGACACTAGTATTCAGCTTAAAGTGACATGTGAAGACTTAACTAGGTTAACAAAACAAACAAAAGTAAACGTGATCGTGCATCGAGTTCAGTGCATCTGTGATTCCCGAAAGCATCTGCTGAATGAATAAATGTGTGTTTGAGTCACAGACGTGAGTCACAATGTTATCAGCCCACACGCGCGTGCAGTGAATCACGGAGGCACATTTACAGTGCAGTGATCTGTCATTCAGATACGAGCAGAGACTGAAGGGTTAATAGAGTTTTTCAGTGTTAATCACACTCACAGCAGCTGTTCATTCACTGAAACTATCACACTAAGAGCTCTGAGGCGCCACTGTAAGACACGCACGCTGTAAATAAAGAAAAACTACACATCAACCCTCAAACTACTTTACAAAAGAAGTAGTCCGGCTTACAGTATTTTGAAAAGAAACGACAACACTGGGATGTTTTGTTTTCTGCAATATACATTAAATACAATTTCATCAGATGACTTGAATGTCTCAGTTTGGAAAGAATTGACCATTTTATATCGATTGAGATTATTTTTAGGACAGTTAATCAAGCTATTACTCATGATATTACTGTATTCGTTCCTCATTGTTATTTTACTGCATTGAAATAAATGGAGTTAAATAAAATTGTGTGCTTTAAAATGTTCAAAAAGCTGCAAAGCCTAAATACGTCTGACAACTCACTGCATCACTAAAACTGCCGAATATGACTCTGAAGCAATTTAAAACAAAACAGATTCATCTTACATCCAAAATTGGGCACGTACATACAAGCAAAAAGACTTGTCTTTGACACTAATATGACCTCATAGATCATTTTTGAAAAATTACAGTAAAATAAAATTAAAAGCTATTTTGTTCCACTACGATATATATATATATATATATATATATATATTAGGGCTGTAATCATGTAGGATTACTTGTTGCACATCTGTGTGGATTGTCAAGACATATTCCCTCATCAATTCGATAAACTCAATCTCAACATGTATGAAGGACGTAAAAGCCTGCCATGTGAAAAACCGCGCCGATCTTTTGAATTGAACACGAGTAGAGGTGAGGGACTGTAGCAGAGAAAATGAAAGTAGCCGCCCCCATGACGTCATTTAGCGGACCTAGTTAAAAACCAGACAGATCAGGCAGCATAATACAGAGAGTGGAGCAAAGCGCATCCAATGATCGGAATTTAAACGGGGGAAAAAGAAAAATTAATTAAATATATTATTTTATATTAGACACACATCTGGTGCTTGTATTTGCTCCTGCTATACATCCACAACTTCACACATTGGGTTAAATTAGGCTTTACAGTTTCCATGTTCAGTCCTTTTCTTCCACTGTATCTTTTTAAGAAAAGGCAGCAGCATTACAACCTGTCATTCAATCAGAAGACAAAGTCAAAGCCGAGCTGACAGCCAATCTTTCCTAGGCTCAGCAAAACTTGCAAAAAATACCCCTGTATTCCTGCAACTGCAATATTTATACAAATATTTCTTATTCAAATCTTCAGCAACGCTATTTACCTCGTGATATTGTTTTACATTTATTTATACCTTGACCAATTTTTGTATGACATGGCCATTAAAAATACAGTGTTCCTTAACCAGATGGTTTTTCAAGTTACTTTTAAAGAGAGTGTTACTTCAGTCATGTTGTAATGTTTTGAGAAGACTAGTAACACAATAAAAAAAATCGAAATCGAAATCGTGAATGGGTCAAACTTTATAAAAAACCTAGATTTTTTTTTTGCTAAATCGCCCAGCCCTATCATATAAATATATATACACACACACATGGTTTCCGCTAAAATTCACCAAAATTCATCCTGCCACGGCTACATTACAGCTTCTTATTCAAAATATTAAATCGTTTTTAAATAGCGGTTTAAAATCGCACCGAAAACGTATTAAAAGGAAAGTGAATATTAACAGCACAAACTTTTCTGTGACCATAATAGTGCTGTGCGTTCTGTTTAACCCTTCAAGGTGACGTGCTGACAGACTGACAGGTGCGTGATGCGTGAGGCCAGCAAACACGGCGTAGCTTTCAGTTATGATGAACACAGTTTCCATAATTATACTTTATTTATGGATAAAGGTATGTGGCTCTTCATATAATGACTTTATCTTGCTAAAGTTTATAGTCGTTTCACTTTACTTCAGGACACATTAATGCCGCGGTCCGCTCCGCAAGTCTATTGGAGACATTCATAGATATTCCTAGCAAATCTAATAAATGTTGGAGACATACTCGCTACATAAACGCACTAAGGCCGTACTCACACTAGGTACAGTTGCCCCGAACCGGGCCAAAGCAAGCTTGTCCCCCCTTCCGTCTCCCCCGACGGCCCGCACTCACACCACAATCGGGCCTCAGCACGCTTACGTCATCGCTGCTGCGCTGTTTAGTTAGAAGCGCTCTCTCACTCAGCAGCACAGTGGAGGTTTCTCTAGTTATATCATTTTAGTCGTTTGATATGCAGTGACATGCAGTCAAATATTTCACCAAACAGTCCTTTGGGATGCTTTGACACGCAGTCAGATATTTCGCTGAACAGATCCGCCACTTTTGGCGCTCATAATCATAAAGCCCTCGTGCTGCAGGAATGAGGAGGTCTGCTGAAGGTGCGCAGCTGTCGTGCAGTGAGGGTTATGCGTCTTTTATAAACTACGGCAGAACAGTAGGAATGATTAATAAATCCATATGAAACAGTCCCTTAAAAGTCACGTCTTGCTTTCAGTTTCAAAGCCCAAGTGAACTGCGCTCAGGCCCACCTCTTCCAACTGGGCCAGGGCCGGCCAAATGAACCGTGCTTGAGCCCGATTCAGCGCACTCACACTTTTCAAACGATCCGGGAAACGGGCCTGGGCATGGTACAGATGGCATAGTGTGAGTAGGCCCTTAATCGCACTTGAGCAGCGTATATTTGAGGGCGCGCAAGAAGTTTTGTGCACGAACAGAGGAAATCAGCAGTCAAGCAGAGATTGACATGCCTCGTAGGCTATTACATGAATGCAATCTCGACTTAATACTGCACCCACGACATCTGTCAATGAAATAACGCCAGATGTAGTGGTAGATCTGTGTAAAATGCCCAACAGAGTGTGCCGCCACAGCTGGAAAAAATCCTAGTATATATATATATATTTTTTTTTTACTGTATATAAAAAGAAATGTCTGCCTTAAAATCAATCTGAATGCATAATGAGGATTAAAATAAATAAGTCAGAACATTTTAAGTTAATTATTTAAATGGTTTAGTTTTAATTTAAATGTTTAGAACAGATATAAAATTATTATTGTATACAGCACTTTAATTATTATTCATTTTTTCAGCTCATATGATTAAATGATGACAGAATATTCATTTAAAGGGTGGACTGTCCCTTTAAGTGTTGTACTGTTAATATTCTGCTGTACTCTATATTGGTGTGATGCTCTCAGCTGACCTGGCGGTGTGTGTGTGTGTGTGTGTGCCCTTCACGTGAGCGGTGTTTGTGTGTGTGCAGCAGAACTGAATCCTGCACATTCACACACACACACACACACACACACACACACACACACACACACACACACACACACACTGTCCTTCATCTGACTGATCATCTGAACTCGGTGTTCCTCTGAGAGCTCACCGTTTACTCACAGTTCAGGCTGGATGACACTACAGTGCAAAAGAAATATAAATGCTTTCCTTATTTAAGACAGTTTAGCCTACCCAATTCGGGGAAACCGGAGCACCCGGAGGAAACCCACGCGAACGCAGGGAGAACATGCAAACTCCACACAGAAACGCCAACTGAACCAGCCGAGGCTCGAACCGAATTGTGCAGACCTGTATGCTTTTATCAATATAATGATCATGTTTTATATACTAACTATTAATGCATTTAATAATCTCTGATTTCAATATATAACACTAGACAGCCTCATTTAAATAACGACCAATCATAACGACCGGAGTGTCTGATGCCTTCGGGAGTCCTGATTGACCTGTGTAGAGGATATAAACACACCTGATATAAACAAACACTACTGTGCTACATTCAAGAAGAAAACAGAGCACAGTAAAGTGTATTTGTGAGTGTATGAAGAGTCAGTGTGTGTGTGTGTGTGTGTATGTGTGTGATCTGCTCCCCAACGTGACACACTTTCATCAGCTCATCCCCACAGACACGGTTAATTCTGTCTACGGCCTTTTATGCCGGCTTTATTGAATTATTATCCTTCATGTATCTGCGGTGATCAGAGATTCATCACATTACTGTGAATTAGTCACCGAAAATAGTAAAAAGCCTGATATCGATTAGAAAAGTGTTCTCCTGTCGTGTTGTGGAACCATTTTAAAATACTTTTGATGTGGTTGGAGTAACCGCTCACTGTGATTGGCTAAACAGAAGACACTATAAATATAAATAAAATAAAAAATAAACAAAGGACGTAGTGACGCAGTAGATAGTGCTGTCGCCTTACAGCAAGAAGGTCGCCGGGTCGCTGGTTCAAGCCTCGGCTCAGTTGGCGTTTCTGTCTGGAGTTTGCATGTTCTCCCTGTGTTTGCGTGGGTTTCCTCCGGGTGCTCCGGTTTCCCCCACAGTCCAAAGACATGTGGTGCAGGTGAATTGGGTGAGCTAATTGTCCGTAGTGTGTGTGTGTGGATGTTTCCCAGAGATGGGTTGCGGCTGGAAGGGCATCCACTGTGTAAAAACGTGCTAGATAAGTTGGTGGTTCATTCCGCTGTGGCGACCCCGGATTAATAAAGGGACTAAGCCGACAAGAAAATGAATGAACACAGGTTCATTCTGAATACATAGCCTTATATACATTTCTGGAGATCGCAAACTATGCAGCCAAAGGTACGGATGGCTTTTCCGCTGTTACCAGTTTTTCTAGTGGCTCGCTGCCTACGTCAGCAGACTTAAGACGCAGAGAGGAGTTGACCATGACAACAAGGTTTGAGTTTGGAAAAGAACGGTTCCAGAAAGTGGGGCTGACAAAAACAGAATCCAAAAACTAAAAATAAAGAAGTAAATAACAGGGTGAGAATGTGGTAAACATGGTAAAAATCAAAGGGCTTTTTTCTGGATTGCTTTTGAAAACACTGTCTGCTGCGTTTAGGGAAGTGAGTGGGTGGGTCAATGTGTGCTTTTGAAAACACTATTGGTTGGGTTTAGGGAAAAAGGAGAGGGGGCCATTCGATCGGTCAGTCAGTCTCTGCTGGATTTAGGTGAAAACAGCAAGAGTGAATGGCAGTTGGGAGAGAAATTTGAGATGTGAAAAAGCATGCACAGCAGCCTCTGGTGGATTCGTAAAAACAAAAACAGCAAAAAATAAATAAATAAAAAAAGTAGCTCCTGGTGCATATTTGGTGCACTCCACAATTGTATATAGGGGTACGTTTTCAGAATGAGCTTGTGTCGAATCTTTACAAATCTGTTAGGAAGGCCTAAAAACACTGCACACAAATTCGAAGCAGCCCTGTGACGATTTGCAAATGCAGATTCAATGATCCATAAATACATCTAACAACATTCATAAATGCATAATTACCTGATATACAAATATTTGTTTCAACATTTTACATTTATTGAGGTGAATTCCTTTGTGTCTGGAAGAATACTTAAGCTTTCATTGCTGTATTCATTTTGTAAATATATGAACTGTGCTGTACATTTATAGAATTTTGTTTTGTAAACGATTATTTTAAGACTAGTTTAGCTCCTTTCTGACTTAGAAATGTAATAAACAAATAAATAAGGTGCTGATTTAAGTGAGTTTCTAAAATTTAATTGAGTTTTACAATGCTAAAAAGCCATTTTAAGTCAAAGCAAAGTGAATCTTTCTATAATGTGATGTAACATTTAAAGTCATAATATAGATGTTTTTCCTTTTTGAGTTGCACGATGAAGTCCTGAAGCATTACACTCTTCGCAGAACCTTCTCTAGTGTTTTGATGCTCTGTGTTTCTTCATAAAGCCAATAATGAAAAGATGACGCTCTATAAAAGCCAGATAGCTTTCACTGTAACTTAAGTATGGGTGATTTCTAGAAATAATACACTACTCTGACCTATAAACCAACCCTAAGCACATTTCTAAATCTCCAGAGATCCACACAGAACACATATTAGGGTAAATTTGGTTTTATATTTGCTCATTCAAACCTTAATAATATAATTATTAATCTAAATAAATCATATTAGCAGCCAACGACTATAAAAGTACAACACTGTTGAGTAAATTAAATAGTGCTAATGTGGTTTTTAAGTCATGCTTGCATGTGATTTCAGACCCAAAATTCATAGTAGCTTAGTAAACAATATAAAAGCATGTCAGACAAATGTCACTGTTCAAAAATGAACGAATGTGCAAATATATAAACCAACCTTACCTCGATCTGCACACATACATGATAACACACACACACACACACACAACAGAAATAGACTGTGTATATGCTCCAGTAGGCCTTCAGATCGTGCATGGAGCATCACAAAACCCTTCTGACAGATCAATAGTATCCTCTCACACACACACACACACCGACAGATACTGTATGCGCATGATCCGCAGGGTTAATGGAGAAGATAAACGCTTACCTGCAGCATCTCACCGAGTCCGGAGAGAGGGAGAATCTGCGGTCGGTCTACGGGAGAATGATCGCTGGATGCGGCGGCAGTGTCTCCGTTGGTGTGGACGGAATGATCCATGTACCGTACACACGCTCTCACACACATGCGGTGTGGAGGCACGACTCTAGCCGTCATCACGAGAGAGAAAGCGAGAGAAATAGAGGGAGGGATGGAGAGAGAGAGATGGAGGGAGGGACTGACGCTCTGCGCACTCAGCATTTAACCGCATCACTGCCAGCATCTCTAAAAATATATACAAATGTGTTATAATATAATACATATAAAATATAATTATAAAAAAATTAATAAAATAATTATCAGTATATTACTCTACAGTAAATGCTAAAACAGATATACATGTCTAAAATACCAGTGATTTATAGTCTTTTTGAACCGTACGTACTGTAAATTATGTTGTTTTATCTTATTCTAGTTGCTGTTTTCTATAAGTTTTATAATACAATACACCAGATTTAAAGTACTAAAATATCCTATAAGGCCTACAGCATTTATTAATCATCAGTTCACTGTATTTAGGTCAATGCTGTAGAAATGTTGTATATGCTATTATAATACAGTATAGTTCTCTTGAAAAACACCAGCATTACTATAGTAGCTTATTTTATTACACTTCATAGTACATAACGATACAGCTAAAACGTTTCATTAGTTATTAAACCATATTAACATGCCATACAAATATAAATTGATTAGTAATGCAATAAGTGTCACGTTGTCTAATCACATCAGTGTAAATATACAAATTTATTAGACGCACTTTACTGGCAGCAGCACTACTGGCTAATATTCATTCATAATCTCATTCTTCGGTGAATAAATCAGACAAAATATAAAACTAAACTGTAGAAACTTAACATTAGATATTAAGGTATATATTTTAAGTACAATACAATACACTATTATATGTTACTGCTGTTATAAACAGCAGAAAACGAACTCACCTTTCTTGATCCGACTGTTGTCTGTTGGTTACCGTTAATATGTTTAACCGTTAAAATTTAAACCGTTGGGCGGGAACTCTAATCAAACGGTAACCCAACAAAGCTAAGCTATGTAAAATCGATTTAAAAAAGGACCGATATATTCAACACCGTGGTTAGACCTGAGGATTATATATAGTCTATTAGACGTTTTTATTTTGCATATTTATTTATTTTAATGTATAAAACCGTAATCTCTCTTTAAATTAGATGTATTTCTTTAAAATACGCTGATTTGTCTCTTGTTGCTTTACAACTTAACAAATTACACCAAATATTACTTTATTTACTTTTATTAATCCCTTATCATTGACATTCTTGGGTCCACAACAAATATCATATTTTTGTTTTAGTTTTTTTTAACACCAAAATATCTTTACAGGCATTCTGGGTAATGTAGTAAACAAGCGGTAAACAGCAATAACATTTTGTAAGATATTGAATTATTTGCAAAAATACAGAAAATATTGACTGACAAATATAGATATGGGAGACATGGTGGTTGCCTCACAGCAAGAAGCTCAGCAGGCATAACATCATCAGACGTTACTCTTAGGTTAGATTTAGGTCATGTTGTCAGGTGATCAAAATTCAATGTCTAGCCAGCCTCTAAGAACAACGTTATTTTGATGTCCGAAAACGATGTCAAACTACATTGACGTCTGGTTGATTTTAGGTAGTTTTGGAAAGTGACCAAAATCCAACATCTGATAGATGTCATAGTGGTAACGTCCACACAACGTCAAGGTGTAACATGATTAGATGTTGATATTTGGTTGATATCAGGTTGGACATTGACGTTGGGTTCTGACGACAACAGGATTTTCATTTCCAAACAAAATCCAATGTCCCCACGACATTGGGGCACATTGGGGTACAACATCAATATGACATCATGCTGACATCCTGTGCCTGCAGGAAGGTCGCTGGTTCAAGTCTAAGCTGGGTCAGTTGGCGTTTCTGCATGGAGTTTGCATGTTCTCCCTGCATTCGCTTGGGTTTCCTCCGGGTGCTCCGGCTTCCCCCACAGTCCAAAGACATGTGCTATTGGGGAATCGAATTGTTTTATGAGTGTGTATGAGTGTTTTCCAGTGCTGGCATCTGTTGTGCAAAACATATGCTAATTAAGTTGGTGGTTCATTCCGCTGTGGCGACCCCTGATGAATAACAGGACTAAGCCGAAGGAAATTGAATATATAGATTTACGACTCAGTCACAGCTAAACTTTCAACCATTTGGACTTTAATAGCTTGAAGGAAAAACTCAAAGTTCTTTAAACAAAACCACTGAGCTATACTGGAGATTCAATATATAGCTCAGTGTGCAAAACCCTTTCAGTGACTGCAGAAATGAGGAACGTACAACTCACAAACAGACAGCGAGCTGATCTGGATTGTAAAACGATGTTTACTGACATCTACATTGTCAGATTGAGTCACACATCAGTCGTGTATGCTGGAGAAACAGAGACAGACGGAGCTGTTAAAGGCTTTTTTGAGGGTTGTTGTGAGCGTCATCGAGCAGATCACACAGAGAATCCACCATCCTCTCCATCAGCACATACACCTGAAACACACACACACACACACACACACACGACATCCCATTGCAACTAAATACCACAGTATGAATCATGAGTGGATGTGTGAATGTGATAAAAGAGCAGTGTGTGTGTGTGTGTGTGTGTGTGTGTGTGTGTGTGTGTCATAATAACTATGATTCACAATCCCCTGCAATAGTAATTACCACAGAAAACACACATTCACATTTACTAAAATACATATTTAATATAAATCTCAGCTACTGTCTTCAGCACTGATGGAAATAAAGATCTATCTCCATCATCAAATCAGCAGATCGTGATCATGTGACACTGAAGATGAGGATGCTGAAGATTGATGTGTATCACTGGAATGCAGATGATGTTACTATGTTAACTGTGTGTGTGTGTGTGTGTGTGTCTTGCCTGTTTGTGTAACATCAGTGTGTATGTGTCCTGTAGAGTCTCGTCTGTGTCCACCATATCTGTCTTCCTCTCCTCTGGCATGTGCTTCTTCATGCTCCCTCGCTCCTACACACACAAATACATGCGCGCATACACATGCCCACACACACACACACACACACACACACACACACACTTAAAATTCATATACACACAAAAACACATATATACACACATACACACACAAACACAAATGCGCACACACATACACACAGGCATATTTCAGATGATTGCTTGGTTGTTCAGAGTGGTTGCTATGCAGTTTTCAGGATGTTCATGGTAACTACAGGGGTATTTTGGGTGGTTGCTAAGCTGTTTTCAGGATGTTCATGGTAACTACAGGGGTATTCTGGCTAGTTGCTATGCTGTTTTTAGGGTGTTCATGGTAACTAAAGGGGTATTTTGGGTGGTTGCTAAGCTGTTTTCAGGATGTTCATGGTAACTACAGGGGTATTCTGGGTGGTTGCTATGCTGTTTTTAGGGTGTTCATGGTAACTACAGGGGTATTCTGGGTGGTTGCTATGCTGTTTTTAGGGTGTTCATGGTAACTACAGGGGTATTTCGGGTGGTTGCTATGAACTATCTAGGGTGTTCTGTGTTGTTGCTGGAGTAGTTCGGCTGACTGTTGGTTGTTCAGAGTGGTTGCTATGCAGTTTAAGGGTGTTATTGCATAACTACAATGTCATTCTGGGAGGTTGCTATGTACATTTCAGTGAGTTCATGGTAACTACAGGGGTATTCTGGGTGGTTGTCATGCTGTTTTTAAGGGTGTTTAGGGTAACTAAAAAGTTATTTTGGGTAGTTGCTATGCAGTATCCAGGGTGTTCTGGGTTGTCGCTGTGCACTTTTAAGGGGGTTTATTGTAACTGCAGATGTATTCTGGCTGGTTGCTATGCTGTTTTTAGGGTGTTATGGTAATTACTAGGGTATTTTGGGTGGTTGCTATGCAGTTTATAAGGTGTTCTGTGTTGTTGCTGGAGTAGTTTAGATGACTGTTGGTTGTTCAGAGTGGTTGCTATGCAGTTTAAGGGTGTTTGGGTAACTACAATGTCATTCTGGGAGGTCGCTGTGCAAATTGCAGTGTGTTCATGGTAACTACAGGGGTATTCAAGGTTATTTTGGGTGGTTGCTATGCAGTTTCTACAGTGTTCTCCATTACTACAGGAATTTTCTATGTGGTTTTTATGCAGTATCTAGGGAGATCTGGTTAACTGCTAGAATATTTGGGTTATTGCTATTCAGTTTTTAGTAGTTTTGAGTAGTTGCTATGTGGTATCTAGGGTGTACTGGATTGTTGCTAGAGGATTTCAGATAATTGTTTGGGTGTTCTGGGAGGTCGCATTGCACTTTAAAGGGTGTTCATGGTAACTACAGGGGTATGTTGGGTGGTTGCAATACAGTTTTAGGGTATTTTGAGTGGTTGCTATTTAGTTTTAAAGTATTTTGGATGGTTGCTATACAGTCTTAGGGTACTTTGGGTGGTTGTTATTCAGTTTTAGGGTATTTTGGGTGGTTGCTATACAGTTTTAGGGTATTTTTGGGTGGTTGCTATACAGTTTTAGGGTATTTTTGGGTGGTTGCTATACAGTTTTAAGGTATTTTGGGTGGTTGCTACACAGTCTTAAGGTACTTTGGGTGGTTGGTATTTAGTTTCAGGGTATTTTTGGGTGGTTGGTATTCAGTTTTAGGGTATTTTGGGTGGTTGCTATTTAGTATTATGGTATTTTGAGTGGTTGTTATACAATTGTGGGGTATTGAGTGGTTGCTATGCAGTTTACAGGTTGTTCTGGGAACCTACAATGGCATTCTGAGTGGTCATTATGCCATTTTTAGGGCGTTTATAGGGTGTTCTGGGTGTTTGCTGTACAGTGTATAGGGCAGGGGTCGGCAACCCAAAATGTTGAAAGAGCCATATTGGACCAAAAAAAACAAAAACAAATATGTCTGGAGCCGCAAAAAATTAAAAGCTTTATATAAGCCTTATAATGATGGCAACACATGCTGTATGTATTTATATTAGCTATATTAGCCTACTATAAAAATGACTTCATTGGCTACAAATACATACTGAGCCTTCATGATTAAATGTTCATTTCCCTGCAGTGCATCCTGTAGAGAATGACGCGCCACGTGACTACTCTGTTGTACGATGCCGTCTCAAGTTTAACTTAATTACAGTATATTAATGAATTATGTTTAATGTTCAAGTTTAACTTAATTACAATATTAATGAATTGTTTAATGATCAAATTTACTTCATTACAATATTAATGCATTATGTTTAATGATCAAGTTTAACTTCATTACAATATTAATGAATTATGTTTAATGATCAAGTTTAACTTCATTACAATATTAATGCATTATGTTTAGTTATCAAGATTAACTTCATTACAATATTAATAAAATATGTTTAATGACCAAGTTTAACTTCATTACAATATTAATGAATTATGTTTAATGATCAAGTTTAACTTCATTACAATATTAATGCATTATGTTTAATTATCAAGATTAACTTCATTACAATATTAATAAAATATGTTTAATGACCAAGTTTAACTTCATTACAATATTAATGCATTATGTTTAATTATCAAGT